TTGCGCAATCTGCCGCCGGTCAGTGATGTAGCGAGCGGAAACTTGTGAGTTTATCTTCGCAGATGGTGTGTCCCAAAATCTCAACCTGATGGGTCTGGAGACGGGGTCGCCAGGCGGCCTCCTGGAAGGCATGTGGGGCCCCATTTTTGGGGCCGCCTGAAGTCACTTTTGTCTTGGAGACGGGCCCAAAAGTGGTGCCGCCAGATTCAGCTCTGGCCCAGATTTGCCATATAGGCCAGATGACGGACGCTGAGTCCTCGTGTCGTTCCTACTTCCTCTCATTTACAATTTTAGTGTTAGTCCGGCGTCACCGTAGGTTCACGTAAAATGGGCACGATGTCAGGTGGGATGTGTGAGATTTCTGAGGTCACTTGCAGTGAACACGAAGAGCAACTTTTGCGCAGCTTTGCAGTTCGTGATACAGGAAGCAAGATTACCCCCCGCCCCATAAAATCTTAGCGTAGATGTTGCAGGATTGGTGCACGAGGGATGGTACACATGTAGCGGAGTCGTGTCTTCCCCGGTTTAAAAACCGTTGTATATTTAAAACGGGCTCACCTCGACTCCACTGCCGTTCTAAGGTGAATTCCACCTTGGAAGGACCCGCCGAGTCCGCTTACATGAACTCCACCGACTCCGCCCACATACGTAACTCGGATGCCTTTTTGTCAGTGCTTATTGCTTGAACTCAGGCGTTTCTATCTTGGCGCGCAGTGCGAAGATGGCAAAGAAGCTTTTGCGACGCTGAATTTGGCGTCGGAACTCATGTCAAGAACTGAGACGTCCAGCCCGGACCTCCCAGGTTGCCAGTTTGCTCAGGGAAGATTGCTGACGGCTGGAGAAATCGTGAGGGTTTTGCGCAATCTGCCGCCGGTCAGTGATGTAGCGAGCCGAAACTTGTGAGTTTATCTTCGCAGATGGTGTGTCCCAAAATCCCAACCTGATGGGTCTGGAGACGGGGTCGCCAGGCGGCCTCCTGGAAGGCATGTGGGGCCCCCTTTTTGCGGCCGCCTGAAGTCACTTTTGTCTTGGAGACGGGCCCAAAAGCGGGGCCGCCAGTTCAGCTCTGGGTCAAAATTTGGCCCCAGAAGTGGGCCCAGATTTGCCATATAGGCCAGATGACGGACGCTGAGTCCTCGTGTCGTTCCTACTTCCTCTCATTTACAATTGAGTGTTAGTCCGGCGTCACCGTAGGCTCACGTAAAATGGGCACAATGTCAGGTGGGATGTGTGAGATTTCTGAGGTCACTTGCAGTGAACACGAAGAGCAACTTTTGCGCAGCTTTGCAGTTCTTAAAAGTGATACAGGAAGCAAGATTACCCCCCACCCCATAAATCTTAGCGTAGATGTTGCAGGATTGGTGCACGAGGGATGGTACACATGTAGCGGAGTCGTGTCTTCCCCGGTTAAAAAGCCGTTCGACTCCACTGCCGTTCTAAGGTGAATTCCACCTTGGCAGGACCCGCCGAGTCCGCTTACATGAACTCCACCGACTCCGCCCACATATGTAACTCGGATGCCTTTTTGTCAGTGCTTATTGCTTGAACTCAGGTGTTTCTATCTTTTCGCGCAGTGCGAAGATGGCAAAGAAGCTTTTGCGGCGCTGAATTTGGCGTCGCAACTTATGTCAAGAATTGAGACGTCCGGCCCTGACCTCCCAGGAATTTCGCCTTTGTGCGCTCTACCTGCAAACTTGACATTGAGCAGTCAATCCCACTTGATCGGTTTCAGCGCCTTATGGCTCAACGGAGCCGAGTTGCAAGGGTAGTAAATGGGTATGCCAGGGCTGTGATAAACAACTCCTCCCAGGTCACGCTCTTCCCTCAAAAAGTTTGACTGTGCTTATGAGAGGATGGCGCCTCCCGTGGCTGCTCGGCCCCTTCCTCTTCTTGTTTGGGCTCCGCAGCTGGAGGGACACCTCCTGGCTCACTAGGTCGTAACTGGGACGGCGCGTCCACTTGTGAGGATTCCACCTCCTGCTGCGCAGAACCTGCTTGCGAGGCTAACCCCTCCTGTTTCACCTCCCAGCGTGTACCTTTTATGCTTTTGAGCGACTGCACTTGTGAGTTTGTGGACGAGAGTGACTTCACGTTCGTTCCGTCAGGCATCCGCAATGGGAAGGGCAAATTTTACATGCAAGTCTTGGAATCAGCGTAGAAGGGTCATGGTTCATGAAGGAACGCATGCCGCGACATAAAGCGATGCTGGGCACTGACCCTGTGGCCCGTCCAGGCCTTTTCGAATCTACGTCAGCGGATGCATCGCTACCAGGTCCTTCATCACTCCTACCATGGATGCAGTGCATACGCCCTCTTGGCTTAGATGGAGGCAATTAGAAAAGGCCAGCAGGCCTTCCTTGTGGTCGCCAACGCCAAAATTCCGCTTTTTCTCTGTGCGTGCGCTTCTTCCCTGCGCAAGTTGGGTGATAGCGCTCTTCCTTTCAAATCACTGGGACGTGGCCCCCTGCCTACCTACTTGGCCTCGAAGCACCCCGCCGCCACGCCGAAAAACATTTCAGGGAGGTCTGAGACACATTTGCGCCTGAAACGTTTTTTAGAAAGTATTGCCTCACTGGGCCGATAAGATCATTTCAATGCAAAGTCATGTTTACATGCGTGCCATCACGCTGCATCCGTGTCGAGAAGCGTTTCAGGGGGTCTGAGACAGATTTGTGCTTGAAATGTTTTTGAAAGTATCAGAAGCTCTCAGTAGCCAGGTAAGGTCATTGCAATACAAAAGCGATTCTACATGCGTGTTGTCAAGAAATATGGCTGCACAAATTGCGAAAAATCAAAGCAAATTTGTGTCTTCAATTGTTTGTTTTCTAAATGTACATGTTTTGGAATCTCGACTTGAAGCTTTTTGAAATTTAATAAGAACAATGAACAATTTGAGTTTATTTACTTTTTTAAAGTTACAAACGTGTTAACTTGGTTCTTAAGTTTGTTTATGGAAAGTGTGGAACCAATGGCAAACAATTCGATATTGCAATAAACTTGGTCTTTTTGTGGTGCCTCCCTGGTAGGAGCAAGGAATCTGGCAACCATGCAAGATTTTGAGGTCACGCGGGCTGGGATTTCGTCGCTCCCGGGCCCAAGCAGGAAAGGAGCACATGGCAAAGGCCTCTAGCCTCTTCACGGCCACACTCGCATCGAGGAGCTGCGAGTACCGCAGAGCAGAATGCCAAAGGCCATGCGCTTGAGAGGCGTTGGCTGCCAGACTCGGAGGGCGCAACACGCACACGGGGGAACAAGGCGAAGCTGGGTAGCGATCCCTGTGGGCCCGCCATAGCCGGAATGCCCACGGCCCCAAAGTGCCTCAGGCCAGTGTTGGCAAAGTCTGTTTTTCTGGCCAGGGAGGAGCGCCAGCGCAAGGCTAGTCATGCCTTGACGGAGTGCGAAGAAACCTTGCTCGTAGGGGCTTTGCCCCATGGAGTGGATATTTCTGACCTGCGCAATCCCTGAAGTGCGGAGCTGGGCACTGGACGGTCCACCCAAGGTCTGACCCTGCCCACGCATCTTCGTGTACATAGCATCCCAAAAAAGCCCATGCAAACACAAAGCCCGAGCGCCGCTCTGCGAAAACTACGGCGAGTGGGGTGTTGCGAAGAGTCTGCAGATGATGAACGCTGTGCTCAGGGATGCGCCCACCTGTGGCGGACCTTCCCTGCCGTATCTGTTTGACAGTTTCAACAGCCTCTCATAAGCACTGGCGAGCTGTTGATTCAGCAGCAAGGCAAGTTCGTTCAGGGCGCCTAACAACATCAACCAAGTGTCTCAGGACATCCAGAATTAGTCGAGCCCCCCACAGGGACAACCCTATCCGGGAGCAAGACCACGGCGGGGCTGTGGTCGCCAATTCCTCTTCTTGGTGCAGCACGCGCATTGGCCCGAAGCGAAGAGCAGGAGGCAACTCCGTGGCCAAGTCAGGTACCGCCGGCCGTCGCACCTCTTCGACTTCCCATCTAGCGGTGAACAGTGTGTCATGAGCAAGACCAACGTCGCCGATGGCATCAAGTTACCCGCAGTACGGCAAGCAGCTCCGGTCCGGCCCATGTGAAATGTATTCCTCGCATTCCGCCCTCGCAAAGATTGACGCGAATCGGGTACAATATTTTCTTCGAATGTTTATCACACGAAACTCGCGCTTGTCCTGAAGTCAAAAGTTGAACCAAGTCATTACCATGAATCAAGCCAAAAAAGACCTAAGTCAATTTGAACAAACCAAAGCCATTTCAGCCAATTGAAACTCAAGCCAAATTGACCAAGCCATTTGAACAGGACCAAAAAATTTGAACCAACCAACCAAATTACTCAGCACCAGCATTTGGACATGAATTCGAAATGCACTTTTCGCACACACACACACACACACACTTCGCAGTTTCACTCTGCACGATGCACTTGGTACAATGCACTGCGCTGAGTACAATGCACCTGGCACAATGCACCCGGCACTAAAGCACTGACAAGTGCATTTCGAAGCATGTCCAAATCCATTATGGATTGGCTGGATCAATCTTTGCTTGAGCTTTCAATTGGATGAAATGTCTTTTGCCTGACAGCACTGCCAGCACAGTCAATTTGCCTTGCCTCCCAGCCGCGCGCGAACAAATGCAATTTTGCGCATGTTTCCTGGGTAGTCGCGGGCATGACGCTTTGCCGCGATCTTCTCTTGCAGCCATCATTCGCCTTTCAGCGGGAGGGTAACACAAGCTTTCCGTCAATAGAACAGTTGGACATATGCCGAACTTTAGTTCATTGTGGCGAACATGAGCTGTGAACAGTTCGGAACCCATGGTGTGATTTCCCATTGCTTGCAAATGCCATTGTCGTTCAACATCAATTCCAGCTAGACGAAGCAAACCCTGTCACGACACACTGCATCAAGCAACTCAGCAGGCGGCCACGAGGTGGCTCTGAGACTTCTCGGAATCGAAAAGGAACATCATGGTTCATGGTGGTGGGGCATTGGGGCACTTGATTTGTTGGCAGGTCGAATGGAGTTTGCCTTTGACGTCGTTGGCTTGTTGGGTGCTCCAATCGGGCACGATGGGCCGCCTGGCACTCAGGACTTTTTGATATGCTTTTTGGTGATGCTGGTGTCGGGAGGTTTGTGGGGTTCGTCGATGAGAGCCGCCTGCGAGCTGACAGCAGTGGAATGTTGTCCTGCGTGCTCGAGGCCGGGAGTTCAGCTTTGCGCCTTCGTAGATGGACGCAACATACGGCAACATGATGCAGCCATGCCAGGAGATGGGAAAGCGGTCGGCAGCCGCACAAGGCTTGCGAAAGCCCGTGACGTGCTGCACTCAACCATCGCTGCCTGTCAAAGCTCAAAGCTTTGCCCAAGTCTTGTCAGCTCTGCCAGCTTCCTGTGAGGTCTGGTGCCTTTTTGGGGGATCAGCGTGTGTACCTTCTCGCCGAGGGGAGAAGAGCCCTCGGTGTGCTGAAGGCACTGGTGCATGTCTGCTGTTTCAATCAGGAAGTGTCCGCAGCCAGGTTGGCCAGAAGCGGCTCTTTGTTGAGGCTCCTTTCAGAAGTTGCGATTTCGCAGATGCCGCGATCTCACATCCCAAGCCCTCCAGCACAGCGATGCTTCTCGCAGAAGCCAAAGGTGCGGAACATCTTCCAGGAGATTGAACCTTTGTCCGGGGCTGGAGATGGGAGGGGAAAGACCGGGAAAGAGGGCAAAAGATCGCTGGGAAAAGACGGAGCTGCCAGGTGCACCCTGGACTTCTACGTGCATGAGAAGCGCCTATCTTACTATCTTACGACTGCCTTGGCCCCGCGCCCCAGTGCCCTCTCTGCCGGTTCAAGGTGCCAACGTGCCGGCTTCGGCCATCAGCTCTTCAATGTCATGCTTCAGCGTGAAGAGATCTCCCCAGTCTGGATCTCACGCAATATCACACCGTCAAGATGTACTTGTTCCATATCTCAGCCTTTGAGGCATCTTGAGGCATCGGTGAGGACTCTGTGTCCTTTTTCCAAGGAGAAGATGGGCTACGACCGGCCGTCTCCGAAGTTCTTGGCCTTTTTGCGGAAGCACTACGGGCTCTGCAAGCACAAGGTGCACAACCACAGCCGGCGTCGTTGCAAGACGTATCTGTCTGTGGAAGCCTCATTTCAGCGCTTTCAGTGCTTTCCTGTCTCAGCCCCAAAACAACAACTTTGTGGTCTTCGATGCCTTTTGGGATGATGGCTCCAAGTCCGGCCCTTTGAGTGCTGCTGTCTTCTACTTGTCGTTTCAATATTTGCAGACTATTTGACTGTCTCTTTGGGTCCGTGACATTGTGCCGAGGCTCGATAGAGGTCGTCCCATGGATCCTCTTGGCACTTGTAGGCTGATTCGGACCTGATTCGGATTGCACGCTGGGCGATCTGAGAACCGGTGCCACAGGCAGAGCGCAGGCGACAGACTCGACAGACCGAGATTAGTTTCACAGCCTTCAGTTGGAAGAGGTGTGAGCCGGGGACTGAGCCACGCCTTGGTGGACCGAATGACAAGCATCAGAAAGTCAGGCGGACAGAGGGACCTCTTTTCTGGGCCAGCACTTGACCACCAACAGCACCGCCGAACGGTCCACCGACTCTTCTGCATTCAAGCTGTCATGATCTTGCAATACGTATACATGTGTGCTTTCAGCATGCTTTCGCCACTTCTTGTCCCGGTGCAGGCCGCGCCGATCTTCTAGATGCACCTGAAGAGGTTGGCACCAGACCTTTTGAACCTGTGAAGCGGCGCTGACATGGTGCTGCAGGTAGTGGCGACCCGCGCGGACAGCACCACGAAGGCTCGTTTGATTCGATCGGTGCTTGGGGGCATGTTAGCAGCAGTGACCCAGGTTGCCGCTTCCAAATGCGAGTCTCGTCTGAGAAGAATGGCGGTGCAACAGTTTCACCAGCAAGACCACTTCGTTCATACGCAGTTCCCTGTAGTCTCGTGCGATCCTTGCATGATGTGCTGTCCGTAATTGGTGCGGCCTCAGGTAATTGAGCCTGAGGTGCGCGCTGCAAGTTAATACCGATGGCAAGCTCACCGGCCATTGCCTTTCCCTGTGATAAGAAAAGATCAGGCGAGAAGTAATCAGTTAATAAGGCTAAGTTTGACATCATCGTGTTCGGCCAGGGAAGGCAGCGAAGGATTTGCGATTTGTGAGGCCATTCTGAGCTTTTCCCCGGCAGCTTGGTAGGCCTTTCGAGCTTACTCTGCTGGCCTAGCTCCCAGTGGAAAGGGCTGAGTCTGCAAACGTTCGCCGGTTGGCCCCAGATTTTTTTCAGAGGCTTTCACTTAGACAAGGGCCACCCACATGAGAGAAAAAGACGAAATCGGTTCATGGGCTCAAAGGCGCGTTAGGGTGCCAGAAGCCATGGCATCCATGGCGGCCATGGCGTGGTCTCCTGTTGGCAACTTGGGCACTGTAGGCGTTGCAAGGAGCTCTCTGAGCTCGCGGAGCTCTTTTGAAAGTGGCTTGCCTCGAGCATGTCGGGAAGGCAAGAAGGCCGAGCATGAGCGAGGCAAGGCCCTCGCTGTTGCTCTCTTAGGAGCCCCGCTAGGGGTCTATGCCGCTTCTCAAAGACTGAGAAGTTCGGGGGCTCAGCGAGTCTCAGCAAGAGGCTATACAGTGCGGTGCCACGCCAGCGCAGAAGCAAAAGGTGTGGCTGTTGATGCTGACGAAGACGAGGCCTACAGAGCGGCAGCTTGGCTGCCAGTACAGAGTAGCCGCCGATCCTCTGTATGCGTTTACTGTTACGTGGGTTCCATTTTCTCCTTCACCAGGTTGTCAGTTGAGCCCAGGCGACACCGAGAGAGCGCCAGTTTGGGATCTACGAGCCTCCAATCCGCAGAAGCTCCGCCAGATCGTCTCGAGCGGAGGCTGTTGAGCTACCCTTGTCGCAGTTGCACATCGTGGCGGCCCAGCGGCAGCTGCCGCTCTACGGCACTGGGTAGGTCCTTTGAAGGCTCCGCATGTTTACAGCAGTGGTTTTGGTAATTTCGGTGCTCGGAGAACTGTTCATGTCGCAGAGGCCATCGCTGCTGGAGGCGCATCCTGTTGCCGATGCCTCCGAAGCCGTGGCCGCGTGGTCCCAGCTGCTGGGCATCTGCCAACGACGGGCACCAGAACTGCTGGCAACCTGGAGCTGTGGTGTGGGCCCATTGCTCCGCTTTGCAGTGCTCGTTCCCTGTGAGCAGTGGCTTCGGGACCCCGAGGACTGGAACGCTGGCGAGGTCAATGAAGTAGATATGGATGGTCCAGAGGGCCCCATGTCAGGTCTTGAGGCCTTGCCAAAGCTTGAATCCCTTCTGAGACATCTCATGGCGAAGTATGATGACGCACCGATGACTCTCGCCGGTGCCTTCACTTGGAGTGATGGTGCAGGCGGGACTTTGCGTGAGCGTCCTGGGCGTGAGGTGGTTCTGTGCAGCGGTGCCGGCATCCAGCTGTGCACACGCTTTGCCCGTCTCTTTGCGGAAGTCTGCAGGGGAGAGCGAAAGCCGGTTGCTGCCGCTCACGACTTGCTCTTGCCTAATCTCTCAAAGAAGATGGTGAATAGGCTCCTGCAGAGCAGTGGCTCTCAACTCCCGCCGCCACCTCCTGTGGAAGTCCCTGAGAGTGTGCGGCACGTGCAGCCACTATCCGTGACGCTGGCGAGCCCTTTGCTGGCCTTGAGGCGGGCGCAGATGGAGACACTGGGAGGGCCTTCGAGCTTTGCAGAGGCCCTGGCCAGAACTCAGCTCGGGAAGGACGTTTCGCATCGCTTCGCCTTGTGCCATGTGCCATGTGCCATGTGTCATCTGCCATGCCGTGCAGCCCTGAGAGAGTTTTTTTCGGGAGTGCCCCCCTCGAATACCCTCGAAGGTCTGTGTTTCCCCGTAGGACCTGGGCACCGAAGAGGAGGAGGAGTTTGCGCTAAGCATCATGTCATGGGCTTGCCGCTTTGCCGACGAGGAGGAACTACGGGACCCAGGCGCGGCAGCACAGGCGGTGGAGTGGCTGCTCGCGCAGCGCGCTCTTGATCCGAAGTTTTCCTTGGTTGTTGCTGGCAACCCACGGGCGCCCAAGAAAGTCTTGGAGGCTGCCAAAAAAGATGCAGCGACGCTCGAACTGCAGCGACTTCAGATGAGTGGCCAGCGCTTCTTGCCAAACCCGGGCAACATCAAAGGCTTTGTGAAGAGGGGTGTGATGGCAGCCTTTGGCTCACCATACGGAGACCAAGCCACAAGTCCCAGCAAAGTGCTTCCGCAAGGGCTGCGTGCCATGTTGGGCATGGAAGGTGCCAACCTCTCTGACCCGGAGCCGCCGAATAGCTGGCACGGGGACACGTATGAGCCCTGTGCAGCCGAGCAAAACTTTTTGCGGGATCCCAAAGTCCTGCGCAAGGCCACCGTCCGTATTGATGAGATCCTGAGCTTTGAGTATCTTCAGCATGTGGGCCAGACAATGAGAAATTGCCTTCGAGCCGAAAGGAGAGGTGGGATGAGTCTTATGAAGTACCTCAGCAGGGTGAAGGCGCGAGAGAGCAGCTTCTGGGTTATGACCATTACAGCAGAGGCCGAGGAAGATGAAGAAGAGGCCCCTCTTCAGCACATGCTGCTCATGGAGGCTCGTTTTGTCGAAAATTCCGTGAGTAAGTTGTGTGGCAGACTTGTCAGCACATAGCCCGAACCAGCGGGAGAAGGGCAATGATGCATGTCGTGCCTACGCAATGCTGCACGGTTTCATGAGGTCTACAACGGTATGAACGTCATTCACCAGGCAGAGGGTCCCCATCCACGTCGCTGGCCACGACTCGATGCCTGGATGTGGCTCCAGGAGTGGGCTGAGCAGGAAGGTCTGCGTCCAGATGGCCCGGAGGGTGTCACAGTCGGGCCTTACCACAGCTATGATGGAAGAATGGACAAGTGGGATATCAGGAGGTGCTTCCTGTGGTGAGAACTCAGCTCCCCACTGCAGTCCGGCCCGAAGGCCTGCCACGACTCAGTGACTCAGTTTGTTGCACGCCCATGTGGTGACATGTGCCACGTCTCAGCTGAAACGAGATCTCAGCCTAGATGGTAGCCACGTGTGCGTACCAAGAGCCTCGGAGCCCTACCTCTCAGAATGTGGTTTGCACACGCCGTGCTGAGATTGTCGTGTTGTGCATAGAGATACCAGCAGAGCGTAGACAAGACATCTGCTTTGAACGCCCTATCTTCCCGAGTCCGTGTGACTCACACGAGCTTTTCCAGTCCACCAGACTGCGTCAGTCGAACCCAAACCGATCGTGTGACAGACAAATAGATGCGCAGCCTAAGTCGTTAGTACTTCATGGATCAGATCAATCGGTTAGCACCGACTCACACTTGCCCCGCCGCCGTTGCCGTTTAGCAACGTGGTATCATGTCGGTGCCTCGGAACCGGCTGCGGAAATGATGTCTTGGTTCTCGGGTGGCAAATTCCATTTTTGTTTGTTTCAATTGTTTACATTACAGAGCACCATTGTGCACCATCATCCCAACTTCTCCATCTCGCGATCGGCTCTGACGGTCCCAGGACGACACAGCAGCCTTGGAGCAACGTTGGCGTGCTGCTCCTGGCAGCTGCAGCAGTGGCCTTTTCTGTGAGCCTTGGCTGACCCTCCTCATGCGCTTTCAGCTGACCATTTTGCTTTCGATTCCTGCTACTCAAGCTGCTATTCCTTTGTTAGTTTAGGCTTGCGGCTGCCGTGGGTTTGGCGATTTGGCGAAATGGCCTGCTGGCCCTGCTGAGCAGCGAGGCCATGGCATGTGGGCGTGGGCGGCTTGTAGCCCGCTTTCGCGAATCGTGCTTTTGTACATCATATATTTTATCTTAGCTGAGTTGTTCTTGAGGCCTGAACCGGCAAGCAAGCCCAAAATTCTTGACAGGAGTACGGGGCCTGAACGATTCTCGTCAACGATTTTCGTCCTCAACGCGACAGGGAGGCATAAGTAGAATTAGAGTTCTTTTGAGGAACCAGGCACCAAAGTATGTGCGAAGCTGAAATCCCCAAGCTGCCCAGTGTCAAGGGAAGCCAGGAGTCGAAGCCCATGGATGGCAAACCCTTTCGAAAGAAGTAAATTGACTTTCATCCAGAGTCGAAGGTCAACTTCAATCGGACCCGAAACATTTCCTCGAGTGGGGCCCGCTTTTGGCTTCATGAGAACGACCCGCCAGGTGCCGGAAGTTCTCCGACGCCCGCTGCCTCTGGGCATAACAGCAGTAGCTATCACGAGTTTGGGCTACAGGTTCACGACAAGCTTTGCAAGAACAGGCACCCCTTTGCCGCTTGATTCTGCTTGCACTGGCAGAAACCAGGTTCGACGTCCTTCACGACACCATCAGAGCCACGAAGCGGCGGATTGTTAGCTTCTGCCGTTTCTGCATGCTGCTCTTCCTTACCTTAGACGAAGAAGAGCAAAACTCCATCCGCGATGGCCTGAACCCGGAGCTTCAGGAGATGCTCTTCCGTCCCTTCGGCTTGGCACTTTCGTTGTCTTTTTGGTTGTTCTTGAATTGTTAAATTGTTATGCATTTCGCCCGCGTGTTGCAGTGTGTTGTGTGTTCGGCTTAGGACGGCCGCTCGCACAGCTTTTGCCGAGTTGTGTGCGGCGCTTCCTGTTCGGCCCGCCGGACTCTGCAGTGGCCAATGGTGCCGAGACTGAAGACAGGTGTGAAGGGGTGTGAGGTGTGTCAGAGGCGTGTGTGAGGTGAATGTGTGCCTCTGCCAGAAGTGCGAGAGCTGCAACGGCAAGACTCGAGGCTTGACCCGGCAGCTGACGCCAAGAGATGCAAGAGAAAGGCCAGGCACTTGTTGGAGTCAGGGAGACAATTTTTACTTAGTTGCAACGCCACGCTCGCTGCCAGGTCTGGATCACGGAACCCCAGGCATGCAGAGCCTGCGGCCCCTGCGGTGTCTGCGGCTTGATTGAACTCGCATGAATTTGCAAGATGTACGTCCAGGGTCTCCGAGTTTCCTCGCACGCGAGGTGGGCAGGCACGTGCTCAAGGATGACCTCAAGGGCCCGGCTTTGGAAGCAGTGCTTGCAGAATGGACCGTCGGCACTGTAGGTACATCTGCGACCTGGTCTCACAACTCACAGAGCTTGAATGCGTGCTCGCGCACACGCACACAGAGACAATGGTGGGGAGAAAGCAGCACCTGGTTCAGGTAAAGCTCCTTGGCATTGGCGTTTGTCGGCAGCTGCAGGGCGTTGTGCGGAGATGGAGGACAACTGCAGTGACCTTTCAGCAAGTTTAGGGATGCTGCCAGGCAACTTCGTGTCACTTACTTGCGATTTCTTTGCCCTGACATCAAGGTGCCTGCTTTCCACCAGGTCGCTCCCAAGCTGTGGAGCCAGTTGCTGAACGTGGCTCCAACTCTACTTGGTGGGTCAATGTGGCTCGGGCAGTGAGAGAGCTTACTCAGAGAGAGCTTGAAAAGGTCTTTGGAAGCGCTCTGGATACAGATCGCCCCTTGGCGCAGAATGCCTTGCGCCGAGGATCAGCTTGGGCTGCGGTACCATGGGCATGGTTGGTGGAGGCCCAGGGGGCACACATGCCAGAACGAAGCACCAGCGCAGCGACGCCCCTCCCTTCTGTGACTTTTCCAAGGCATCGTCGGTGGGATTTGCGGTCTCGTTCCTGCCCTGTTGACTTTCGGTGCATCCATTCCGATCGGAGCGGCAATCGGAGGCTCCTCGGCACACTTCCGGAGTTTCTGTTCTCGGGTCTAGGGGTCTAGCTCATGTGAGGCGAGGCATGATGATTCTAGTTCTGGCACTTGCCGCTGTGGGCTTCTGGTGATGCTGGGAAGGGCAAAGGACGTGGCGAGGCAGCCGCCGGAATAAGTACGCAGAAGATCGTCTGAAGTGCTTTGGTTGGGCAGATTTCTGCCAACTTTGGCTTGTGACTTAACGGTATGCCACGCCCCAGCCCGAATGTCTCAGTGTTGAGTCTCCCAGAGTAGCGTATTTCACTGTTTCAGTGCTCATCTGGGGCCTTCCCTCGCGGGAAACAACCTGGCTAAAAGTCGGAGGCCACATCTGTAGATGTCATTGTGCTTAACAGTGTGGATCGACAGGTTTGGCTGGGTGGTGCTGTGGACTCCTGAGCGGCATCCTTCTCACAGTATTGGCTCATGGTAGGCTTATGGGTGTTGCTGATGCGACACAGTTCAGACATATCGTGAGCACCGACAAGTGCTGCGTCGATTGAAACTAGAAATGCTGCCCCGCCGGAGAAGACGCGAGGTCTTCTCAGGGCAAGCTCGTGGCATAATGTGCCTCAATGCCTTCAATTAATGCACTCCTGGGATTTCCGCTTGCTGAAGTCTCAGGCAAAGTGGGCTGGGTGGCAGCGCATTCCCTTCTCATTAGCATTGCAACTTTGTTGCTTTTTCTGCACGCATTGTATCAGCCCAGGTAACCATGGGAGCCAGCAAAGCACATCAAACACCATTCCCAACTTTTGCTTATGTTAGCGTGTGCAGGGCAGGGCCGGGTGTGCGAGGGACGAGTGCACGCTCTTTGTGGCCGCTGCGAGGCGCGAAAGCGGCAGAGGCATGTACATAGAAGCGTTGTGCGGCAAGGAGCCGCAGTACACTTGATCATCTTTCGGCCGTGGGTGGCCCACGAAAAAGCCTCCCTCAAGTGCACGCGGCTTTGGTTTATGGTTGTTGAAACACAAGGCTTGTGGATGCTTGATTTTCATGGTTTATGGTTTGCGATGGTGTGTGCATGACCGTTCAACGCCAGTCAGTGCAAAACACAGCTTTGAGTTGTGCTGCTTCTCCGCCGTTTGGGACAGAGGCTGTATAGGCTGTTTCACATGTTGACATGAGCAAAGGCGGGAACCAATTGACGGCATGCACCCACATGCGCTTTGATAATCCCATACTATGCCATGGAGATGGGTGCATGTGCTCTAGGCTTATCCGATACCAAGCATGCAAAGCTGGGGGTCCTCATGCCTGTGATATGTCGGCCACGCGAAAACAGACTCGACTGCGGTCTGGAAAGCTGGCCACCGTCGGTGGCCACAGACACACCGAGATTGCACTTGATACTTGCTTCTGTGCGCATGCCATGGCGTATTGATGCCAGATGATGCTGCAGTGCATGCGATATGTGTGAGGTCCATCGGCGTGTGCCGCTGAAAGGAGGTGAGGAACAGTAGCCGAGATCAGGATCGAGCTGCTAAAAAAGTCGCAGAGCTTGCGACGAGCTCCCTTTTTCGCCGCTCTCAGGTGGATACCTATTGGGGCTGCAGGCGGTGGCTGCTGCTTCTCTTGCTGTCCTGCCCTGAATGGCTCACAGGGTCATTTTCTTCAAACTCCGCGGCTCAGAGTTTCGGCTAGGCGGCTAGAGTTCAGCAACTGCAGGCCTGCGTGGCTGGCTTGTTGCTACAGTCAAGAGCTCAGCCGTCCATGGTCATCATGGTCTCGAGATGACTTCGAGATGAGCTTGACGTCTTGAAGGCGCTTCTTGCAGCTGCTCCTGATCCTGGAGCTGGCTGAGGCACGGAGCCTTACCTTCGTGCCTCCGGTGGGTTTTTGTGTTTCCTAAGCCAGATTCTGGCCGCGGCCTTCGTGGTGCGAGCAGCTGCTGGCACACTTGACGCCCGGAGCCGAGGGTCCTTTGGTTAATCCAGTCTGATTATGATTGCTCTTATTGCTCGCTGTTTCCGGATGCTTGTTGCAGCTCTTCGTCCGGTAGCCTCGAAAGGATGTGGTTCAACAAGACATATTTACGTCGTGTTGAACCATGAGGTTCCATTCAAGTATTTGTTGAAACTGGACTGGATCTGATCCGGTCCGATTCAACAGAAGAGTTCAGAAGTTTATTCCTTTACGACTGAACTCCGAGTTTGTTCGCCTAGTAAGTTGATTGGTTTTGGAGGCAAGCAATGTGGGAAAGGACAAGAAGAATGGTAAGAAGAAGAAGAAGAAATAGACGAAGAGGACGATGAAGAGGTCAATCGTGACAATGAGCTCAATTTGTTGAGTATCGCATTGACATCGCAGTTTGCAGGTAATCCAGTTTGAGCTCAACGAGCCTTGTAGGAGCTGAGCAAGAATGGTTCAAGGTTAGTCAGCAGTTCCCGAGATATCTGGGCCTTTGAAAGGACTGCTGGCCTAAAGCCAGTGACAAGACCATGTGTTTGCGTGTTGCGAAGTCTTGGCAAGCTGCTTGTGTCATGTGTCCTTCCTTGTCCTCCCCATGCATATCGAAATTCCTGGGAGAATCTTATTGCGCTCTTTCACAGTTTGGCCAGCTTTGTTACTTCAATCCAAAGTGATCTGCTAGCTTCTTCATAGCCTTCCATTAGATTCGTCTTCGAAATCCGCTGAATCCTATTTGTGCGAAGATCTGCATGCAGTGGACAAGGTCGCGAGTGCCGCGCTGGTTGGCGCGTGCTGGTCCTAGCAATGGGAGGCTTTAGCGAAGGAGCAGAGCATTGCGCCCGCGAGAGCTTTTAAGTGGATGCTGAGGAGAGCCCAGCGCATGTGGAAGGCTGCGAGCACCTGGCATGAGTTTCAGCTTCGAGGCCGAGGCCGGAGATGTGAACTCCGTGGTGCAGCAGCGCTCCGTAACACGCCAAAAAAAACACCGCAACACACTGTAACCACAATGTAGCACAAATGTAACACAATGTAGTGCAATGTAACACAATGTAACACAAATGCAGCACAATGTAACAGTCACTTTTTCTTTGGGGAGTCAGAGGCTTCACTGTGCTGTTTCCATTATGGGCGGCTAAACTGGCTCAACAGCCGCCGCTCTGTGCAGGTGCCAAAAGGCCACCTGACAAAGCCAAGGTCGAGGACACGGACTTCCATGATGTCCTGTCCTTCTTGCTCTCCTCTTGCTAATGGGATGGCTTGGGCATGCAGTGAAATTGCAAATAGAAGCCCCCGAAAACGGAACCTCCAAGCGACCAGTTCCGTCCAACCCTGCTATAAACTTTGGCTAGTTTTGCCCCGGAAGGAGTTCTGTTGGGGACTACGCAAGCGCCGTCGGCGCGCGTGAGAGCGACCGCCCAACTCAACTTTAGGCAGCAGTCCGTCGGTGCGGGTTCGACCTTGGAGTTGGCGGTGCCTTTCATGTTCCAGCACCTAATTCGATGCCCAAGTAGTCATGGGAGGGACCATGCAAAGATCGCAGATGAAAGCGGAGCCCTGCCTACCGTTTCCCAGGTTGTGGCTGTTACCGGCAACCACCATACATGGCTCCAAAATAGAGCTTTTTGGCAGAATTTGGCTTAGAAGTCAGACATGACCTAGGGAGGTATTTGGCACGCATGCACATGCCGTGTCACTCCTGGTGATTTTGCATGGTTGCTTAGGAAGGTGCTTGATGCAGTGTTGTTGAGTTGATTCGAGTTGTCTTCCATGGAGCCAAGCAATGGCGATCATGTGGGGACAAAGCTGTCACAACTGGCAACGCTCTCTGCCTGACGAGGGGCCGAGCAGCCCTCCAAATCTGGGCTTGGGCAATGCAGATGTGCCGCAGGTCGTGTGTCAAGCGGTTTCGAGTGTGCCATCCGAACACGAGCTTGCATGCACGCAGCTATACTGCGAAAACATAGATGCGTTTGAGAGTGTTGTTGACGGGCTGCCTTCAACCCAATCTTATGGGCTGGAGGATGAGGCAGTCGACGAAAAGAGTTGCCCAGAGATTTTGCCACCTCGGCAGTGCAATGATATGGCTTGTACCCAGGCATATGAAGACGAAAGCGAAGATGATTTCACAGCCGATCTCTTGCAAGCTGGCAAAGCAGAGCAACCGACAGAGATGCCCGAAGCATCGTCAACGGAGACCAAAGCCGCATGGAAACAGGACGAGCCTGACAAAGCGCTCATGCCAGGCAGTGCGTGCGGCCAGCGTCCTGTTATCAGTGGCGGCGGTGGGATTCAGTCATCTGCAGTGAGTGGGGCTCTTGAATCATGCAGGGAAGATGCAGGGGTGGGACCCCAGGCTGCAGAGTTCTCTGATGAGTTGGGCTGCACCCTACACTACAACACCCACGAGGGCAGTGAAGAGGCAGCTGCGCCAGCGCATCCAGAAGCACCTGCAGCAAATGCGGTCGAGACAAGCCGCCCTGAGATTTTGCCGCCTCGGCAGTGCAATGATCTGGCTTGTACCCAGGCATACAATGACGAAAGCGAAGATGATTTCACAGCCGATCTCTTGCAAGCTGGCAAAGCAGAGCAACCGACACAGATGCCCGAAGCATCGTCAACGGAGACCAAAGCAGCATGGAAACAGGACGAGCCTGACAAAGCGCTCATGCCAGGCAGTGCGTGCGGCCAGCGTCCTGTTATCAGTGGCGGCGGTGGAATTCAGTCATCTGCAGTGAGTGGGGCTCTTGAATCATGCAGGGAAGATGCAGGGGTGGGACCCCAGGCTGCAGAGTTCTCTGATGAGTTGGGCTGCACCCTACACTACAACACCCACGAGGGCAGTGAAGAGGCAGCTGCGCCAGCGCATCCAGAAGCACCTGCAGCAAATGCGGTCGAGACAAGCCGCCCTGAGATTTTGCCGCCTCGGCAGTGCAATGATCTGGCTTGTACCCAGGCATACAATGACGAAAGCGAAGATGATTTCACAGCCGATCTCTTGCAAGCTGGCAATGCAGAGCAACCGACAGAGATGCCCGAAGCATCGTCAACGGAGACCAAAGCAGCATGGAAACAGGACGAGCCTGACAAAGCGCTCGTGCCAGGCAGTGCGTGCGGCCAGCGTCCTGTTATCAGTGGTGGCGGTGAGATTCAGTCATCTGCAGTGAGTGGGGCTCTTGAATCATGCAGGGAAGATGCAGGGGTGGGACCCCAGCCTGCAGAGTTCTCTGATGAGTTGGGCTGCACCCTACACTACAACACCCACGAGGGCAGTGAAGAGGCAGCCGCGCCAGCGCATCCAGAAGCACCTGCAGCAAATGTGGTCGAGACAAGCCGCCCGGAGATTTTGCCACCTCGGCAGTGCAATGATATGGCTTGTACCCAGGCATACAATGACGAAAGCGAAGATGATTTCACAGCCGATCTCTTGCAAGCTGGAAAAGCAGAGCAACCGACAGAGATGCCCGAAGCATCGTCAACGGAGACCAAAGCAGCATGGAAACAGGACGAGCCTGACAAAGCGCTCGTGCCAGGCAGTGCGTGCGGCCAGCGTCCTGTTATCAGTGGCGGCGGTGAGATTCAGTCATCTGCAGTGAGTGGGGCTCTTGAATCATGCAGGGAAGATGCAGGGGTGGGACCCCAGGCTGCAGAGTTCTCTGATGAGTTGGGCTGCACCCTACACTACAACACCCACGAGGGCAGTGAAGAGGCAGCTGCGCCAGCGCATCCAGAAGCACCTGCAGCAAATGCGGTCGAGACAAGCCGCCCTGAGATTTTGCCGCCTCGGCAGTGCAATGATCTGGCTTGTACCCAGGCATACAATGACGAAAGCGAAGATGATTTCACAGCCGATCTCTTGCAAGCTGGCAATGCAGAGCAACCGACAGAGATGCCCGAAGCATCGTCAACGGAGACCAAAGCAGCATGGAAACAGGACGAGCCTGACAAAGCGCTCGTGCCAGGCAGTGCGTGCGGCCAGCGTCCTGTTATCAGTGGTGGCGGTGAGATTCAGTCATCTGCAGTGAGTGGGGCTCTTGAATCATGCAGGGAAGATGCAGGGGTGGGACCCCAGCCTGCAGAGTTCTCTGATGAGTTGGGCTGCACCCTACACTACAACACCCACGAGGGCAGTGAAGAGGCAGCCGCGCCAGCGCATCCAGAAGCACCTGCAGCAAATGTGGTCGAGACAAGCCGCCCGGAGATTTTGCCACCTCGGCAGTGCAATGATATGGCTTGTACCCAGGCATACAATGACGAAAGCGAAGATGATTTCACAGCCGATCTCTTGCAAGCTGGAAAAGCAGAGCAACCGACAGAGATGCCCCAAGCATCGTCATCAGAGACCAAAGCAGCATGGAAACAGGACGAGCCTGACAAAGCGCTCGTGCCAGGCAGTGCGTGCGGCCAGCGTCCTGTTATCAGTGGCGGCGGTGAGATTCAGTCATCTGCAGTGAGTGGGGCTCTTGAATCATGCAGGGAAGATGCAGGGGTGGGACCCCAGCCTGCAGAGTTCTCTGATGAGTTGGGCTGCACCCTACACTACAACACCCACGAGGGCAGTGAAGAGGCAGCCGCGCCAGCGCATCCAGCAGCAAATGTGGTCGAGACAAGCCGCCCGGAGATTTTGCCACCTCGGCAGTGCAATGATATGGCTTGTACCCAGGCATACAATGACGAAAGCGAAGATGATTTCACAGCCGATCTCTTGCAAGCTGGAAAAGCAGAGCAACCGACAGAGATGCCCCAAGCATCGTCATCAGAGACCAAAGCAGCATGGAAACAGGACGAGCCTGACAAAGCGCTCGTGCCAGGCAGTGCGTGCGGCCAGCGTCCTGTTATCAGTGGTGGCGGCGAGATTCAGTCATCTGCCGTGAGTGGGGCTCTTGAATCCTGCAGGGAAGATGCAGGGGTGGGACCCCAGCCTGCAGAGTTCTCTGATGAGTTGGGCTGCACCCTACACTACAACACCCACGAGGGCAGTGAAGAGGCAGCCGCGCCAGCGCATCCAGAAGCACCTGCAGCAAATGCGGTCGAGACAAGCCGCCCGGAGATTTTGCCACCTCGGCAGTGCAATGATCTGGCTTGTACCCAGGCATACAATGACGAAAGCGAAGATGATTTCACAGCCGATCTCTTGCAAGCTGGAAAAGCAGAGCAACCGACAGAGATGCCCCAAGCATCGTCATCAGAGACCAAAGCAGCATGGAAACAGGACGAGCCTGACAAAGCGCTCGTGCCAGGCAGTGCGTGCGGCCAGCGTCCTGTTATCAGTGGTGGCGGCGAGATTCAGTCATCTGCCGTGAGTGGGGCTCTTGAATCCTGCAGGGAAGATGCAGGGGTGGGACCCCAGCCTGCAGAGTTCTCTGATGAGTTGGGCTGCACCCTACACTACAACACCCACGAGGGCAGTGAAGAGGCAGCCGCGCCAGCGCATCCAGAAGCACCTGCAGCAAATGCGGTCGAGACAAGCCGCCCGGAGATTTTGCCACCTCGGCAGTGCAATGATCTGGCTTGTACCCAGGCATACAATGACGAAAGCGAAGATGATTTCACAGCCGATCTCTTGCAAGCTGGAAAAGCAGAGCAACCGACAGAGATGCCCGAAGCATCGTCATCAGAGACCAAAGCAGCATGGAAACAGGACGAGCCTGACAAAGCGCTCGTGCCAGGCAGTGCGTGCGGCCAGCGTCCTGTTATCAGTGGCGGCGGTGAGATTCCGTCATCTGCATTGAGTGGGGCTCTTGAATCATGCAGGGAAGATGCAGGGGTGGGACCCCAGCCTGCAGAGTTCTCTGCATCGGCCCAGAACCTGCTTTTTGAGCCTGCAGCTTGTGGCGTCGGACATGGCGCGGTGACTGCAGAGGCGGGCCTCAGCAAGGAACCGCGTCAATCCCTGATTCATCAATCACACTTGTACGGCGCCCACTACAGGCACCGTCCCTGCATGGTTTCCGTGATGGTGCAAACGGGTGAAACAGATGATGGTGACCTTGAGCGTGAAGCTGTTGCCATGCCTTCCGTGAAGGTAGCCAACAGTGTGCCAACACTCAAGAAACCGCAGCCGCCACGGTTGAGCCTGCTGATTCCGAAGAGGCCTCGCGATGAAAACATAGAGCTCGTGGATGTGGATGCCTACTCTGCAGCCAGTCACGCCCTGTGGGGTGGGCGCACTCCGAAGAAAGCTGCAGCGCCTTGTCTGCGCGATTTCCTGGCGGCAAAGCAGGAGGAGGCAGAGGAGGCAGATGAGCCGCTGCTGGGCACCGCTTTGGGCAGCAGCTCGATGTCGCCGATGTCGCCGATCTCTGAAGGGCGCGGAAGCAGCCCGAATGATCTTTGGTGCAGCCAGCGAAGCCACGTGAAGCAAGAAGACCTTTCCGTGAAGCGCGGGCTCGAGTGCACTGCGTCCAGCGCGCCTACCACTGGGGCACCTGGGATACGAGATCGCTCCAGGTCTCCGCATGCATCAGGCCCCCAGCAACCCTTGCCTTGGGTGCCACTGGGGCCAAAGCAAGAGAGCCCTCAGCAGGTCTGGTTGGTAAGCCATGGTAAACTTCTTTGAATATCTTTGCGCATCTTTGCACATCTTGTACACATGCCTGCCAGTTGTCCCTGTCAGGTTTCCAGGGTGGAGTCGCCGGTCAGCCTGAGCACGCGCCGGGCCCTTCATTTCGGAACGCCTTCTCCGTCTCCGAAGTACGATGCCAGTCGCGATGTCGTTCCTTCATGGCTGCAGCAAGTTCGTGATGTGAAGGGAGGGCTGAAGCCAAACACCAAGCAGGACGTCACGGCTGAGCCTTTGGAACTTGCAAAGGGCTTGCCAGCCGACGAGATCCCAACTCCTTGCCGCGGGGCAGGTCGCGCAAGGCTGAACTCCTTGAGATTTGGTCGATCAAGCCGACCAGCGTCGCCCGGCTCAGATTCGCATTCAACTTTGGCGGCCTCTCCGCGGGTGGGTGAAGGGGCGCCAGGCACGGACGCAGCCCCGACGGCCTCCACAGCCAAGGAAAGCTCGACACCATCGACCGCACCTGCCACTCCCACTGGGTCGCCTTCCCCTCTTGGAGCGAACGTTCTGTCTATCCCATCACCAGCTGCACAGGCCGAAAAGGTCGCGAAGGCGCCTGTGCTACATGGGCTACATGAGCCTCAAGGTGAGGTGGAAGCGCCCCCAGCGTCCCAAACGTCCCAGTGCTCTGAAGCACTTGAGCCCTTGGCAGCACCGGTGGAAAGCCTGGGCATGTCGGTTGCACCCTTAGAAGAGTGTGATATACCGCAGCACGTGGAGCACGACGAGCAGGTCGATGACGTCGAAGATGATGCCTCCGGAGTGAGTGCCGAGGACGTGGCTGCCGTGGCTAAGCAGGATGAGCGTGAGGACAGCGATGAGAAAGGTGGCAAGAGGGCCTTGGGTTCGCCGGGCTCAAGCTCGCAGGGCGAGGATGGCCCCGAACGCCTCAGTCGTCTCAGTCAGTTTTGCTTTGCGAAGACGACCCAAGAGGAAGCACACGCGCGCCAGCGTGCGCCGAGAGGGAGCCCGGTTGCGTCTGATGGAGCCAAGGATGTTGAGGTAGCCAGCGCGCCTATCAACCTCAGCCAGTTCGCGTTTGCGAAGACGACGCAAGATGAGCAAGATGAGGGACGTGAGGGCCATGAGGGACGTGCGACCGGAGGGAAGGTGCACAACGTGCCCTCAGAATCGAAGACGCCGGAAGTGGCCACCTCCGCTGAGGCCTGGATTCTGGAGACTCTGTAGGGTTCTGTGATCTTGCTGTGATGTTTCTGTGATCTGCGCAACTCCTGACGCATTCTGGATCGTGTGAGGAGATTCTCAGTGCCGAGGCCAGCTCAGCATTGAGCGCGACTTGAGCTCAGAGCGTCTGCCGCAACAGAATGAAACAGATTCAAGACAGGAAGACGCCCCCAACTTACATCAGCTCACTCGATCTCTTTTCGTGGTGTGATTCCGCTGTCAGGTTGGTCAGCTTGAGCGACGATCCTCCAAAGAAGGCCGTGTGGGCTTCAGAACTCAGAACTCGGGCGCTCGATTTTATTTGTGTGGAGAACAGGTCAAGCGAACGGCCGCCAAGAGCCATGCCAAGGGCAGGCTGGAAGTCCTGGAAGTCCAGAATGGCAAAAGGTTTTGTCGAATGCTGTCGTCGTCGCGAGGAGCAAGACAAGTGTTCCTCCAAAGTGGCAGAGGCTGGTGATTGCTGAGCATGTCTTTGGAGACATAGACGCTGTGAACCCAGAACAATTTGCCGGCAAAGAAATCTGTTGCAAGGAAGCAGAGGAGCTTGAACTGGGCCCTCACTGACACTTGCGGCATGTTGGCTCAAGCCTATTCACTGATGACTCTGGGGCAAGGGGGACTCGTGATGGCCGAAGTCGCGGATGCTCGCATTCTTCGCACGCTCAATGCTGCCATAGTCAGTGGGCTGGCAGGAGGTTGCGCCCAGATAATGTACGTACTGCCATTGATGTGGCTGCGCACCATTATGGAGTACCAGTACAAGAATGGCCAGGGCATGCGGACAGTCGCCACCACTCTCTACCGAGAGGGTGGAGTTGCGAGATTCTACCGGGGTTTAATGCTGCTCAGCTGAAAAGCGTATATTGGACACAACTTGCAAGCCAACATATTGTGGAGTTGCTGTAGAGCCTTACAGTAGGACCTAGACTAGGGACAAGGCCGACAACGCCACAACGGGCAGAGAGTCAACTCAGAGTCAACTCAGAGTGAACTCAGACGCTTGGAAGTCCCAGAGGCCAGCGCTGATCCTGGCTCCGACAGCTAGGTTTGGGGATACCGCAGCTTGGCCGAGATGTGCATGTTTCTCATGTATGGCCGCTGTGCTGTTTTGCCTCCCATCTTTGCTTGGCAGAGGTCACGAAAGGTCATATGAAAGGTCATATGAAAGGTCAAGACATATCAGAAAGCAGATGCACCCGAGGCAGCAAACGAGCTTGCGCTCTCTAGCGCCTGTTCTGCAATAATTCTGTCGCTTGTGTCGCAACATGACCGTACTGTAGTGCCTGCGGGAGCTTTGGCATGCACTACCATGCACTCCTTCTCTGCATGAGCCAAGGCTTGTCAAAAGTCGAAATGAGCTTGGCGTTGAAGACTCTTTGTGTCTTGGCTTGCACCAGGCCGGATGAACATGACAAGTGCAACCAAGCAGGAGGCCTGTGAAGTGTGGCTGAGGTGCCTCTGTGACGGCTGCCGCCTTTCGTGTGATCATTCTGCCACTGGATGCCTGGAAGGCACTCGACGGATCTCTTGTCTTGCTACGAGAGCCGACGGGTTGAAATGTGCCATTAATGCGCCCCAGGTGAACAAGCAGGTGCATGGCAAGGTGGCTCGTTTACTTGATCACTTGTTGACGGCTTGCCCTCTGATCCTTGTTCTTGTCCTGCAAGGCTGGCCTGGAACATCTTCTGAGAAAGGCTTGGAGGGTTGCCCACTGCCAGTCTTGTAGACTTGTAGAACTCTTCATTCTCTTGAAACATTTTGATGCTTCGTGTGTCAGGCGAAGGCAAGCCCGCTGTCTCTCTGGCATGGTGGCATGGGCGTGCTGGTCACAGGAGGTTTCGGACATTACCCGCACCACGGCTTGAACCAGATGGTGCTTGTGCTTGAGAGATCATGCCATAAGGAGGCACACATCCTGCAAGCGCTGCATCGATCCAGGTGGTTCTACACCAACAATCTTCTTCGTGAGATTCTTCCTCCCTTCGAGATGAGGCAAGCTGGCTTGCTTCCCTCTTCATTCGATGTACAGCGCTCTACCACTTTCAGCCTGTAGGCCAGTATGTCGACCATGTAGCTCAACCATGCAGACCGTTGAAATGTGCGTGCGTGGTACGCTTTGCTTCCCTCTTGTTGGGACACTGAGGTATGGGAAGCATGTGCGGCATGCCTTCATCGGATTCACCTCATCTGTGGTGGCGGATGCAATATGCAACCCCATCCGAGTTCTGAAGGTGAACCGACAGACATCACTGACCCGCATCAGCACCTCGCTTGCAGCAGCTTGCATCTTTAAACTTGTGCCGCCAGCCTGTCCCAGCGGCTCTGGGCGAACGGGCACTCGTCTCAGGTTACTTGGACGCAGCAGCTTGACCGCATCCGGGCACTGCTCTTGTGCTCACTCTGTACTCTCTTGAAGCGCACGCAGGGCTGCGCCTACGCTCTCCTAATCGCTGTGAGGCGCAAGGCATCATCCAGAAGGAGGGCGTGATGGGACTCTGGTCCCGTGGTCTTAAGACTCGTATTCTGGCCAACGGAGACCAGGCTGCAGATTGATGTGCAGTTTCCCAACATTGTTATGAAATGCTATGAATTCTGATCCTTGGTCAAGATTTTGTGTCAAGGAGTGCAGGGCTCGCTGTTCACTGTGGGCTGGAGATATTTCTCTGAGCTTTTCAGTGGTGGCCTCACAACCTAAGCGAAGCTCGAGAGGACAAAGCCGCACAAAGCCGCACAAAGCCGCAACAAAGCCGCCATCCCGAGACCAAAGAGGCCCCCGTGCCAGGCCCCGAGACCTGAGGGCGGGCAGTGGAGGAGATGGAGATGACGATGAAGGACGGAGCATCACCAGCGAAGCGCAGGTCAGGCAAAGTGGCGGATAGCCTTTTTGCCACATCAAGGGTTCAAGGATGGAACGTCGGAGGCGATTGTCCCCTGAGAACTCGTGCGTTCCTCCGACGGCTCCGAGGCTCCCTGTGACAAAGCGCTGAGACGCCCGTGCAAAAATGGTTGAGAGAGGAGAGGTTCGGGTACAGGGCGGAGTGCATGTGAGCGTGTGTCAGTGCACTGCGTGCAGCTGCAACTGTCGGCAAGTGAGATCGAGTCGAACATGACAGGCCGCTGCCTGCCGAGCTTGGCGGCCCCGTGGCCCTGACACCCATGACACCCACAGGCCACCTTGCCGTGCTGTGGGGGTCATGTGTATAGTGCGAAGCAGTGCGCCTATAGCGGCTGCATAGATCTCGAAGCTGCTCTGTGTAAGGTTGCTGCAGAGTAGCACATTGGGGGAAAGGCTTCAACCTATGTCTCTGTGATGCGACTTTACGCGGGGTGATGTGACTTCGCTCGCAGCCGCATGTCACTGGGGAGATGTGACTTCACATGCGAAGATGTAACCTACCCGCTTGTATGCGTGTGCAAGTAGAGCCCGGTTTGTGGATGTGCACTTGTGCTCCCTTGTGCTCCCTTCAAGACTCCCTTCAAGACTCCCTTCAAGACTCCCTTCAAGACTTGGAGAGGCTTGGCCAGCGCCAAGGACAGCCGACGAAACTCCGTGGGTCGGCTCTGCACTTGTTCACGTTGCGGTGCAGAGGAGAGTGCCAACGAGAAGGGCAAAAGCAAAGCGGGGGATTCCAAGAGAGGTGCCTGCCGACTGCACTGACTGCACCCCAATGGCCTGCCGAACGGGGGGGGGGCGGGGGAATTCTAGGCAAGCGAGGGCCTCCTGGCTTGCTTGTGCCCGCGGAGTCGGAAGCTCTCTGCTTAGAGCTGGTGTGGAGCACTCCGTAGTCCAACGTTTACTCTTCTGCGCCTCGTGCGCTGCCAAAGGTTGCTGCCAGCATGCGGGAAGTGAGGTGGGCTGCCGCCTGGAAAGTCTTCGATTTTTGGATGAGCCCGCACCAGATGTCCAGGGGGATCAGTGACGACGATTCCGACGCCCCTCTGGCAAAGATGATCAAGAAGCGCCGTGCAACAGCGCCGGCCAGGCAGGACATTGAGTCGGAACTTGACGTCTTTCCTCATTTAAAAACGCAGACTGTGCAGGTTGACCCCGGCGAAGGCGACGGCTCAGCTTAGCAGAGGTGCCAGCAGTGAGCCGGAGCCCACAGAGCCCCCACAGCAGGCCAAGCAGGCCAAGTCACGGGCGACCCCAGGGGCGACCCCAGGGGCGACCCCGGCAGCGACGCCCCTCGGCTTAAACCTGCAATGCTAAGCTCGGCTTCTCGACTTCTCGGCTGCAAGTGAGCACCCAGTGTTTCCTGAGGCCAGTGAAATCGACTGCAAAAGCCCGCGAGGCTCGTGATGATCCAGCGGCATCTGAGCTGAGACTAGTGGCAGCGGCAAAAAGAACTCTTTCCAGTCCAAAGCTACCGGCCGGTCCAAGCGCACGATCGTGGTCTCACAGGAGGAGCCTGGTGCTCCCAGAAGATTTGACTTTGAGTCGAGAGAACAAGATCGCAGGATGCGAATCCCTCGAAGAAGCCTCGAAAGGCTCCTGCCCGGAGCATGGAATACGTATAATACGTAGATTTCATGCCGTGTTGCGGCATGTTGCGACAGCCGAACACACCTCCCAGGATCCTACGAAGAAAGCCAAGGTCGCAAGGCAGGTGGGCATCACCAGGGGTTCCACACCAGGGCTTCAACAGAGCATCCACGCACGAGTGCCCACACATGAGTCCATGACATGAGTCCGCACATGAGTCCGCACATGAGTCTATGCATGGGTCTGTGAGTTCGCACGAGTGCATCTCCAGGCTGAAAGATTCGGCCTTTGCCAACCCTGCGGAAGCAGCTGTGGCCGCGGCGAATGGGCGGCCAGTCTTTGCCACTTGGATACAATATGGCATTACTTTGGCATACCTTGGCCTACTTTGGCATTACTTTGGCAGTACTCTGGAATCCTTTGGCATTCCTTGGCCTACTTTGGCATACTTGCAGCTGATTGCAGCCCACACCGTAGCTGCTGCAAGCGGAGGCCACCACAGGACTTGAGCTCAGCGGCAGGCTGCCCCCATCCAACTCAATGGAGCTGCTCACATGCTTGTGAATCTTGTGGTTCGAAGGCAGAAGCAGTTCCTGCTTGATCTGCAGGGATTACTTGTGGTGAGCTTACAGCGCTTGTGTGGAGCCATTCCTTCACCTGCTTTCGCCGTTGCAGGGATGCAAGTTGTCAGGTTGAAGACTGGAGTCCTCATGTGTCGCCGCTCTGGCAAGCATTCTCTCAGGGCCCGATGGAAACTCAGTACATACATGCAAATCAGGCACCTGATCGCAGATACGTTTCGAAGGACAACCAAGGCATGCTGGCACAGGTTGAAGATGTTGCCTTCAACCCCTCAAGCATGACTCGCTCGTGTCATTCTTGACCTGACTGCCAGATGATGTGCGCTATCTGCAATGGCGCACACATCCTCTCCACACAATACGCCTCGTCGGCACGTGTTGCTGAGGTCTTTCGAGGTCTAGAATCTAGAAGTAGTTCAATGTCGTTGCACGCTTTCAGGTGAAGGCCTGCCGCGAGGCCGGAGAGTCTCATGCCCTCGACGACCTGTCCAGAGCGGAACATAATGTTGCCCAGTAAACACTCCACGGGAAATCAAGTGCCAGTGGCAACGAACCCCTGCACGCAAGCCGTCCCTCTTGTGATTCATGATGCTCAGCCCACTTGTCTGCTGGACCCTAGACACCTCCCCGCGGATGCTCGTGATGTGCGCGTGCTTGCTCGCTCGGGCCAAGAGATCTCCCAGCTGTCCCAGCGGATGCTCATGATGCGCTCTCCCGCTTGTATTTGGTCAAGACACAAGCTGATGCTGATGATGCACAGCCCCTTGCCTGCTGGGCTCAGGATGCGTGCCCCTCTTGCCTTCTGCCCGAGACACCTTCCAGCTGATGCTCATGAGCGCGGCCCTCTTGCTTGCTTGGGCCACGATGCTTCCCAATACCCAAACATGCAAATGACCTCCTAGCTGGTGCTCATGAAGCGCCCTTCTTGCCAAGACAGCTGATGCTCATGCGCCCTTTTGTTTTCTCGGGTCAAGACACTTCCCAGCTGATGCTCATGATGCGCGCCTTCTTGCTTGCTCGGGGGCAAGACACCTCCCAGCTGATGCTCATGATGCGCGCCCTCTTGGCAAGACACCTCCCAGCTGATGCTCATGATGTGCCCCTGTTGCCCAGACACCTCCTGCTGATGCACATGATACATGATGCTCACCTTCTTGCTCAGAAATTTCAGTTGAGGCCAAGACCTCCTGACTGATGCTCATGATTTGCGCCCGCTTGCTTGGTCGGGCCAAGACACCTCCCAGCTGATGTTTATCATGCGCCCCTCTTGCCCAGACACTTCGCAGCTGATGCTCATGATGTGCGCACCCTTCCTTGGTCGGGCCAAGACATCTACCAGCTGATGCTCACGATGCGCTCCCACTTTGCTCGTTCGGGGCAAGACACCTCCAGCTGATGCTCATGATGCGCATCCTTCTGCCTGGTCGGGCCAAAACAGCTCCCAGCTGATGCTCATGATGCGCGCTTTCCCGCTTGGTCTGGCCAAGACACCTCCCAGCTGATGCTCATGATGCACGCCTTCTTGTTGCTCGGGCCAGGACACCTCCCAGCTGATGCGCTTCTTCTTGTTCGCCGGGGCTAAGACGCCTCACAGCTGACGCTCATGATGTGCTCCTGTTGCCCAGACCTCCCGCTGATGCATCATCGCATGATGCTTGCCTTCTTGCTTAGAAATTTCAGTTGATGCTCAATGCGCGCCTTCCCCTTGGTCAGGCCAAGACACCTCCCAGCTGATGCGCGCCCTCTTGCTTTGGTCGGGCCAAAATGCCTCGCAGCTGATGCTCATGATGCGCTCCCATGTGCTCGTTCGAGGCAGGATACCTCCCAGCTGATGCTCATGATGCGCACCATCTGGGTCGGGCCAAGACACAGCTGATGATCATGAACCCCTCTTGTCCAGACACCTCGCAGCTGATGCTGATGATGCGCACCATCTTGCTTGGTTTGCTCAGGCCAAGACACCTCCCACTTGATGCTCATCATGCACCCCTCTTGCCTAGACACCATAACCATCAGCTGCGAGGTGTCTAGGCCCGACCAAGCAAGCGGGCGGACGGCATTTGCATCAGTTGGGAGGTGTCTTGGCCCGACCAACAAAAGGGCGCGCCTCACAAGCATCAGCTGAGAGATCCAAGAGGGTGAGCATGATTAGCACAGCGACTGGTGTCTGAGCAAGAGGGGCGCATCATGAGAACAGCTTGGAGGTGTCTTGGCCCGAGCGAGCAAGAGGGCGCGCATCATGAGCATCAGCTGGGAGGTGTCTACCCCCGAGCAAGCAAGAAGGCGCGCATCATGAGCATCAGCTGGGAGGCGTAAGAGAGGTCCGTCATGAGCATTGGCTGTGAGGGCTGTTTGGCTTGGGCCAAAGACACCTCCCAGCTGACACTCATCATGCACCCCTCTTGCCCAGACACCTCGCAGCTGATGCTCATGCACCCTTCTTGCCCAGACGCCAAGACATCTCCCAGCTGATGCTTGATGCTTGATGCTCCAGTTGATGAGCTTGGAGCAAGACACCTGGCAGCTGATGCTCACGATTCGTGCCCGGTTTGCTTGTTGAAGACACTTCCCATTTTCCCATTTTATGCTCATGCCATCTTCCCTGCTTAGTGCAGAAGCTGATGAACCGCCACTGTTGATGCTCACGATGCGTGCCTGCTTGCCTGTTGAGACCAAGACACCTCCCATTCACCCAGCTCATGTTCGTGATGCGCTAGCTGATGCTCATGATGCGTTCCACTCTGCCAAGACATTATTCAGCTGACGCTCATGATTCGCACTTTTCGCAGCAGCTGATGCGCACAATGGTGCCTGCACTTTACCCCCTTTTCGAAGAAGCTCTTTGCGTGGGTTTGGTTGCCCGGAGGCTGGCCGGCTCGTCGATGAAGCCGCCTTTGTGCTGAAGGACACCTGGCTCGTGCTTGAATTCAGGCTGACATTTGATGAACCTGCATGCGCTCAAAGGACGAACTGTGCGAAGCTGCATTTGCTCGGAAGCGCGGAATCTCAGAAGGTGCGGGATAGTAGCAAGGCGACGTGCGAGGTGAAGTGCTGGAGGTGCTGTAAATTGCTGTCATGTGGGTGACAGGATACTCCTTGGCAGCAGCGCTCCAGCGTGCACGTGACAACGGCCCTCTGCTGCGGGGAATATCAGTGGGTGGCCAAGATTGGGGCTCACTGGCACTGAAGGCATGGCAAGTGCGTGCAGAGGTCTACTGCTTTCCTTCCGTCGGGGAGAAGCGGGAACTGCCAATGCTGGTTGCTGCTGCTGGAGGAACATGGCTCTCTTCTAAGAATGGCAGGTGACCGACTGTTCGCGTTTTCGTGTCGTTCTAGTGAGCCTAGAGAGGCTTAGAGGGAATCACGAAGCAAAGCGGCCGCACCTCAGGTTGAAACGCTTCCCTCTACAGCCAGCTTGCCCGTCTGTGCCATGTTCAATCGTTGAGTTGCAGATGATGAAATGCACCTTTCGACGTTCTCCGATGTTCCCGTGCGCGGAGGTGCTGCTGCTGGCCGAGCGCTGTGTCAGCAGTGCCTGATGCTTGGGGGAGGGACATCAGATTCATCGAGGCTTAATTTTTTCGGTCGGGTGCAATGCGTGCATTGCTTGCACTGCTTGGGCCCCTCGAGGAGAGGGAGCAGCAGCGCCGACGGGTCTACGAGGTCTACGATGTGGAACTCCTGCGTGAGGCAAGACGCATGCAAAGATATGCAAAGGGCTGTTGGTTTCATGCCTGCAAAGTATCCGTGCCCAGGCTGCATGTACGCAGGAACTTCGACGGGCAGCATATCGACTTCAGTGAGCTTTCAGTCCAGCAGACTCAGCAGACATAATTCGACAATTTGTAATTCGCACGTTGCGGTGGTGTGGCTTGCTCTTAGAGTGAGTCAGAGAACTTGCATGGCAGTTTTTTCAAAAGAGCCCTGTTGACCTGAGCATACCGTCGTGACAGCAAGCTGTGGCTGCTCTTTCGACTCGCATGACTCATGACGTGCGTTCGAAGCCTTACCGCTTCCTCGCAGGTGTTGGCTCAGGCACAGGTCTTGGACAACGCATCGCCGCTGTGGAATCCATGTATGTTAGCTGCTGTGATCCCTACCAGCCCCTTCAGAGCGAAAGCAGCCGGCAGCTGCAAGGAGCAGTGGCCATCTCACGGCAGAGGTTTTCGAAGATTTCTCAATGTTTTCGAAGTCGGATGCAGGAGGTATAACATCGGGCAGCAGCGGTCGCTTGAAGCGCACGCGCACAGATGCTGTTACAAAGCTGCAGCTGGAGCTGTGCATTGCGTTTAGAAATTCATAAACATACATGTGGCCATGTAGACAGCCGAGGATATTGTGCAGTTTACCACTGCGACTCTTCCAATGCACTGAAGATGACCCCAGTGTAGTGCTTGAGTGTGATGTTGATAGTTTCAAGATCCTCGGGCCTTGCCAAGGATCTACTATGTCGAGGAGGATGAAGGGCGTCTGACAGTTGACATTATGCGACTGGGATCCATGAAAGGTGCCATCAAGGTTCGTTTTGCAACAGCCTCCTGGCGCAAACAATCGCTTTGACGTCGATGTCGCTCATTGCTGTGTTCCTGCAGTCTGGCTGATCCGTTTGCACATGCGGTAGTGCCGCAATTGGCATGACGGTCTGCAAAAGTCGAGGAAGATGGCTCTGCAAAAGCTGGGCTATCATACGAGGAGACGTTTGGGGAGGTCCTCTTCGAAGATCAAGAGCACCGTGATTGCATTGGTTTCAGTTGTTTCACTGTATTTAGCTTGGTGGCATCTTGGCAGCCTTATCCGTAGCGTTATCCGAGTTTTCTCGCTGCTGTTAGGTACCGGAAGTCTATTGACATCAACACGATTGCGAGCGCGTACTGGACAGCGACCATGGAGTTTAAGGTGCCTTTCAGAGAGACTGTTGCAAAGGCAAAGCACGCTGAGAGCAGGCTGAAAGAATTTGAAAGCCCAGAGAGATCTGATGAGTGCCTGGAGGTGCGCCTACTTGACCCCGAAGGCTGCAATCTGGGCCCTTTGGCCCAGAGAAATCCTGTTGAGCACGGAGGCCTCTGGACAAAATCCGAAGGTTCTTTCCGAGCAGCTGAGGAAATCACCTGCACACCTGCCGTGTCAAGATCATTGATACAGGGACCTTTCCTTCAGTCAAGTACGAGGACCAGCTCCGGCTCCTTAATGGCAAGACATCAGAATAGGAAGTTTCCGACATCAGGGATACCTTACATTGGGTCCTTATGAGAAGGGGATCCGATTATTTGGGGATCTACATTGGGGTCCCCTATTCCCTGCATCCCCAGAACTGTTTGGCTATCAGTCCGGAGAAGTGGAGAGGGCGTGCATGCCTCACCGAAGCTTTGCCTCGAGGCTGGGTCATGATGGACTGGACCAGATCAGCACCTTGTCATCACATGCCCGCATTCATGTCGTTTCTCGTCGCTATGTTTCGTGGAGTCCCTTTGTGGGGGGGGCAGGGCGGCAGCGCAGGTCCGTCAGGCCTATTCTGGGAGTACTGGAAGCTCTGCTTCTACCAGGTCCCGGGTATTGCTGTTCGGACAGTCTTCATGCTGATCTTCGATCAGCTGAAGCCACTGGGATGCAAAATTCATCTTGGCTGGTGCCAATTGTGCTCCGCGAAAGCCCACGAAATATCGCGGAATCCGAGGCAGAGTTTCAGGGTTGCCCGAAATGGACTTGTCCTAAGACGGTGTTGGTTGTTCGATATATTGTTTGGGGGAGGTCTGCGCATCGTTTGAGTTCCACGCAGTGCGCAGTACAAAGTCCCAACAGCTGAAGCAGAACCACCTCTTCATGAGACTTCTGCCTTCCTTCAGGAATGTCTACCGCTACTTCATCCTGTGCCTCAACATCTACCTGGTTGACGTTCTGTTCAACATGGAAGCGTCAGAAGATCGTCTTTGGATGTCCACACGGCTCCGTACGGCCTATGCGGTCGCCATCTCTTATGTGGCTCCTATGTTGGTGCTGCATGCCTGGGATCTCATCAAGGCAAACATGGACGTGCAAGGACACCTGCGCCTGTATCTGCAAGCCAGCCTTTTTCGGCGATACCTGAACTACAGCAACTTGGCCAGGCATTTTGCAAGTGTAGCAAAATGGACTTTAGCAGGAGCTGGGTCGAAGGGTTTTACATATTGCCGAGGTGAAGAATCCCGGGTATCAGTGCCTCCTGCAGACATGCAGCATGCACTGAGCCTGGGATCAAAAAGTGCAGCAGAAGGATACACGAAGGTCATGGATCTTTTCCAAAAATTCGGACAGCCACTTCTTTGCAATTATGCGGAACTTCCTTCTCGTCCACTCTGTCAAGCATTCGTCTTGTGAAGCGTCACTTACACTTGGCGTGAGGCTGGCAGTGTTCACCTACTTTACGCTGCGTGAGAATCCAGACGCCATCTACCTGATACTGGCAATGCCCTCTCTCATGGCGATATTCCTCGCGTGACGCGGCCATGTTGGAGCTGAAGAAATCCTGCAGACTTGTTCCTGCCCCAGCTCAGGTTCAAGGCGTGTATGCCGTTGGATCGGGAGGGCCGCAAGGACATTGAGGCATCTGTTCTATCCCTGGCTGCGGAAGTTTGCCAGCGCTATCGCCTCATTGCCGACTATTTCCAGCGGCCCCAGATGAACGAAATCTTCGCCCGGCAGACAAATGAGCTTCGCCGTGAATATATCCCGGAGAACATCGAAGGTGTGAATAACGAGTATTTTCCCAAATGGCTGGGGCCTGTGTTTGTAGCCGCTTACATTGCCTTGGATGCCCAGAACGTCTTTGATGCCACGATCTCACTGGGAACCTTCCTGGCCACCATCTCCGTGATGAAGGACATCAGTTCGGAGTTCGCCGATGCGTATACCTTGATCCTCGACTTGGCGGGCACCTTCGGGTCCATTCAGTACTTAACAACTTACTTCAACAAGGAGACGGACCTTCTGACCTGGAAGGGTGTCAACCGGACGCGCCGAGAGCTGACGCCACTTTCTGGCAGTGATCGTAGGAGTGATAGTGATGTCGGGGCCCCAAGGCATCAAGGCATCCAGGCTCTTCCCGTCCGCAAGCGTGCCAAGGGAGATGAAAGGAAAACGACACAACTTGACACAGCAAAATCACAAAAACAAACGGTCCGCCAAAACTCCGCGGGTCATCTCAGAGAATGAGAAGGGAGCGACGGCAACAAGTTAAGGCTCATGAATCCGGGGTTTGGGTGGCCAAGAACTACCCGGACGTGGGTCTCCTTGGGCCAGGCGGGGGGGGGGGGTGGGTTAGGGCTTGCCACCCAACACCTCATTGGGCTCGATGCCCTTTTCTTGGGTGGCAGGCGGTAAACCCGAAAAGGGGGTCCTTAAGCCCTGAGCCCTGAAAACTCTGAACCGCAAAAGGCGATGTTGGGTGGCAAACCCTAAATTTTCAAGGGGGGGGATGTTGGTTGGCAGGCCACAAGCCCTAAAAGGAAACGTGGGGCGACCCTAAACGGTGGCAAGCGCGAAAAACTTCAACTAAGCAACATCTTTGGCACCCCCTTTGAGGGATCTGGCCGTTCGAAACAAACATGAGAAGGTCCAGCTAAGCATTTTGGATTGTCTCAACAGTTCCAAGGGAACAACAAATGTTAGAATCCATGATGTGCCATATGCTGCGCCATGCAGTGATCGGCGTGAATTCCGGTGATGTGCTGTTGCCCTCCACCTAAGGAGGCAGGCACGAGACAAGGCCTTCGCCAAGGCAGAAACACCTGCAGATGGCATCGAAGACAGGTCCGCGGTCTTGTACAAGACGGACCTCATTCCGATTCAGAAGCTCGGTCGAGCACCCTCCTGATTATGGCCATTAATGGGCCCTAATTCCCACGATCATCTGCCGCAGATGCTTTGAAGAGCTTGTCTAGGTTCTGCGCAGCACCGAGGCTCTCCAACATGTGCTACGGATGGATCCGGCATGAGCCAATCTTTGAGAATGTCAACGTGTCCGTGGACCAGGGCAAGCTGGTGGCTGTCATGGGATCGCACGGGTCTGGGAAGGCGAAACCTGCCAGAATTCAGCCAAGGGGTTAGGCTGGGTTTACCCTGCCGCAGACGACCACAGCTTGATTGAAGGATGCACCAACATGTCCTGACAGGAGTAGCCGCCGATCTGTAGTTTTGAGTCGGGGTGAAGCTGGCATTGAAGTGGCGTGGCAAAGGATGTGTAGAGAAAGGAACTCAACTCATGTTACCTCATGTTCCGTGATGTTCCTCCGCACACTCTCGAGCTTATCGAGTCATCGACGGTGTAATGATGCCAAGGCCAAGCGTACCTCTCGAAACATCCATCGTATGTTGCAGCTGAGGACTCTCCTCAAACTGCTTGGACACATGGTCTTTCCGACGGATGGAGCCATCTTCATTCCCTCACACCTGAGGATCTTGCACGTGACCCAGGAGGCTTTCATTCTCAATCTTTCCGCATGGCAGAACCTGATCTTTGGTTGCCCAAACCCGCACACCGTTGATCCACGTCGGGTTCGAAGAATCTGCGAGCGACTGAAGATGAAGGTCACACTTGAGTTGATCAAAGACGACTTGGAAAAGCAGGAGAAACTGAGGGGGTCCCCCTCAAATGCGGATGAGGAAGACTCGGAGGAGGAGGAAGAGGGAGAGAAGGATTTCAGGGGCGCTGGCAGCGCATGGCAGGAGAGCCTCACGTATTCGGAGAAAGTCAAACTCCACCTGGCGAGAGCTCTGATCATGAACCCGGAAGTTCTGGTCTTGCAGCGACCGCTGCTCCTTGCCTTAAAAACTCCCTCTTTACCCTCGGCGTAGAGATGTGTGGCTTTGTGACGTGTAGATTTCTGGCTCCGAGGCATCACTACGACAAGAAGACGGGCGAGCTGGTCCTTGACCTTCTCAAAGAGAACGTGCAGTCAAGGGGCCTGGAGCTGCCAGAGAAGAACCGGGTGCACCGCCGACCGCGCACCTGTGCCTCGGCAAAAGGGCTCGGGATCGGGGTTGAAAACAATATTAGAGCTGAAGGATGTTTAGGGTTTGGGCTTAGGGTTCAGGGTTCAGAGGCCCTAGACCGGACCCCTAACTTTCAACGAAACCCTGAATCCTCAATCCTGCAACCCTAAAGCCCTGTTCCTGGTTCCTGCCCTTGTCACTTCAAGGTTTCTTCACGGTGGAAGCCGAAACCGACGCGCACAGAGCGGATGTTGTGTGGTACATTGACCGCTCAACGGTGAGGAACTACGATGATCCTGGCACTGTCACATCTGAGTTCTTCAAAGCCAAGACCCTGGGCTCCTTTCACATGAACGACTGAAGCAAGCCGTTGGGCTGCTAGCGTTGCTCGTAGCTGCCACCTGTGCAGCTCCGGGGCCATCGAGAACCTTCGATCGTCCTTTCAACGCACCGCGTGCACTGCCAAAGAGAGCTCGAAATGTTTGGTACCATCCGCCCCCCGGTAAGCCACATGCAACCTAAGCCGGTACCTCACAGGACCGTCACGAAGACACCGGGCCCGTCTCTCAAATGTCGCCGCCCCCCCCCCCCACCCTACATAAATGAATAAAGGTCTGAAGCTTCCATATTTGAATGGCTGCCCGGGGCCCTGCGGATTTTGGGGTCCTATCCGCACCATATACACGCAAGTTTGAAACTGAAGAGTGTTTTCAATTGTGAATGAAGCTCAGGGGCCATAGTGATTCGAGGCTCCAACCTCTATGCAAGCTTTAATTTTAACGCTACGCGACCCGCCTCGGCCCGGCCCAGCGCATCCGCGTGAGCATGGTGATTCCGCAGCGCCCAAGTCGCTGGACCCCAAGCAATAAGGGTTGGGTTGAGGGTTGAGGGTTGAGGGTTCCGGGTTTATGGTTTATGGTTTGGGGTTTGGGGTTGAGGGTTAGTTTAGGGCTCAAGGTTCACGCTTTGGGGTTGAGGGAGTGATCGTAGGGTTGAGCCAGGCCCCTTAAACCCCTTAAGGTTTAAGGCGGCTCTTCGGCAGGGTGGGGGAGGGGGGAGGTGGGGTGGGGGGAGTGGGGGCGGGGGGGGTAGGGGTGGGGGGGGGAGGGTGGGGGGGTGGGGGGGGGTGGGGGGGGGGCGGAGGGGGGGGGGGGGGGGGGGGGTGGGGGGGGGGGTGGGGGGGGGGGTGGGGGGCGTCCGAAAAAGGGCCTTTGGGTGTGGGGGGGTGCCTGTTCTGACAACCTATACACCTCCGGCCCGAGGCCTCGGCGGATGTTGAGGAGAAATCTCCCTTGCCATGAGAAGCTGAATCATGCCCTCTAAATTCACTAGTCAAAGCAATGCAAGGATTTGTGTTTCTCCAAAAGCTTGAGGAATTTGAGATTTTCGATTGAATCCTTGAGGCTGAGACTTTGGGCCTCGATTGTAAGCTTCGGTATCCCAACTGATTTCGTGTTGGCGGAGCGAAATGCTTAATCTTGATGCTAAAGAATTTGGAGACTAATATTTGCGCATTTAGACAGTTTTGAACGAAGCGCCAACGTTTCTTGGATTTGAAGCAGAGGCTGTCTTGCGCAACATCAATTTAGATTCCTCTTCGTGTTCAAGCTTTACGGGAGGATTTGGCGAGCCTCAAAAACTATAGGGTCTGTTTTGTCGGAGGGCTTGGAATGAACATGTTGCGACCGAAGTCAGCTCAGCCCCGAGATCGTGACATCGGAAATTCTTGTTCGAACAGAATTCAACCGTTTTCGCAATGAACAGGTCTGCAAGCTCTAGACGTATTCTGATGGCCAACAGGAGCGTAGGAATTTTGAAATGAGTCGAGCCGTTTTGAGTTAAAGCATCCAACTCTGGGGGTAATCTCTGCATGCGATTTGCATTTGCATGGAGAAGCGTGTTGCAGCATTGCGGGAGTTGGATGCCCAACATTTGTTCAGCACCAGCTTTTGTTCACAAGGCTGCAGGGTGTTTTATGGGGGCAGATGCTTACCTTACTTACCTCAGCTTGGAGCATGTTGCGGCCTTCCAGCACGAGGTCTACCAGCCAATTTGCGTCTTGCTCCAGTGTCCAGCTTCAGAATTTCGGCTCCACGCTTTGCAGCCCGTTGGTTTAGGCATCTTGAGAAATGCCGCCTATCGAAACTTGCACTATAACGGGCTTTTGATCAAAGCACAGCAACATGCAGAACTTCGATTTGGGCAGCAACGTATCAGCATAGGCATCTGGCACTTCTACATCCAAGGGCTCGTTCGAAGCCGATGCATCGAGATGTCTTTGAAGATGCAAGTGCCTCTGCAAGACCGCCATGTTTGTCCGAGTGTGGAGCTTCATTACCTGACGGTCTGTGATATGGTGCACTGCATGTCAGGGATTTCCGATGGCTATGGTTATGGCGGAAGTTGAGCGTCTCGTCCTTAGAGTTGCCCCGCATCTGCTGCAGCACCGGGAATCGGACTTGCTCATCTCGAGGTTCCGTGCAGGCGATCTGCACGCGGCTCATGGAACCGCATGTAGAGGCGCTTCAGCAGCTTAAAACCACCCCCAAGCCCAGGGAGACCTCCGAGTGAGGTGCCGTGGCTTGTTTTCCCTGAAAGGCGGCAGCAGGGACCCTCGTGCAGATCGAGGGCTTGTGGGATCTTGCCAAGGCCGTGTTCCCAGCATCGTCAATCTACCACCACTATCATAGCAGAGAGTTTTCAAGCCCCCATTCTCTTTAGAGGCGAACTCGAGGAAGCTTATCGACATGGACCATGCCGGTACCTCGGGCCACTTTCACCACTGCCTGTGCACTTCATTCGTGTTCTGCTTTGAGTTAACTTCGGTATTTGTTCATTCCCTCATTTCGTCTGAGGTCTTCCGCAATATGCAGGAGGGGCTTCTGAAAATGGATGGTTTTCGCATCCTGGTCTTGAAATTTTTGGGGAGTGTTTGGGGGAGGGGAGGGGGATGTGGAGACTTGCGACTAAGGCACGGAACTTGACCGATTCGATTCCACTCTCAACAAGCAGGCGGGCACAGCGGGTTTAGAGTGGCGCTGTCGTGGGGAAGATGGCGCGGCACCATCGTCAAGGCTGTCGAGACGGAGAGCCTGATTGAGCGCTACGAGGCGTATGCGATGCTGTAAAGTTGTGTCATGTTGCTTTGGGGTGGAAGAGCAGAGATCACCAGAGAGTCACCAGAGGTCGAGTTGCAGCAGCTGAAGATGCTCACCAGGCAGAAGGATCGGCTTTCGTGTGCTATGTTCTAGGACGTCTGGTGTCCGTGTCTTCAGAGCAGGCAACTTGTGGACTGCTCAGGAGGAAGCAAATCTGCAGCAACGACGTGCCCTTGATGCATTGCGGCGCCCGCCCCATTTGAGCGGAATGGACAGAAGAGATGTGATCGGAGATACGCGCGGTTTAGGAGGGTCTAGGACTGCATCGCAGGCACGAGCTGCAGCACCTCCAGTCGCGCCCTCAAGTGCACTCGAAGGATCTCGAAGGCAAGTCTCCACACAGCAAGTTAATCATCCTGGGAGGAAGCTGCAGTCCGGCTGTGAAGAGTCCTTCTTTTCAAGCCCGGAGCTGAACCCTGCCCTCCGAAAGAACCCCCAAAACAGGGATGCGCCTGTGATGAGTCAGGGCGTCTTTTTCAACCTGAGCTGCTTTTTGGGATCCCCCCTTAGGCCTGGAGCAGAAGTTCGGAGAGGCTCCGAGAAGTCCTTTCGCACGTTGAGCCAACGTGAGCACATTCGCTGTTCTGCTGTGCCTTAAAACCTTCATTGGGAAATCCCCCATACTCTTGTCCTTAAACTCCTTAAGCCCGAGAATTCTCTCGTTGTGGCAGTTGTCGCCCCTCAAAGCGGAAGTGGAGGCGAGAGACTCAGCAAGCAGGGCTTGGAGGGTTGGATAAAGAGGGCTTTTAGGGTTTATGCAGGGAGTTCAAGGCTTGCTTCTGAGTAGACGGTAGAGGGGTTATCGGACTCGTTAAGGGTTTTGCCGGTTCAGCGCAGCCTGCGGGTTGCGGTGGCCAATGCGAATCAATGCTGATAGTCCACTGTAGCGATGCCTCTGTGGCTGGCGAAAGCCCAGTAGATCCTGAGCCCAAGTGGCTTGCCTTTCTGAGTGTGGAGTGCAGCAGCACATAGTAGCACATCGTTCAAGTGATGTTCAATGATGTTCAATGATGCAGTTTTCGTTCTGTGGGGGGCCCTTCTCTCAGTACGCTGCTGAAAAGAGTGTTGCAGGGCCGAGAAACACGCCTCGGAGCCGCAGGCGAGGATGACCTCCATGGACCTGAAGCACCACAGCCTCACGGATCAGGCTCAGAGACAGAAACTCTCCGTGTTTAACCGTTTAAGCTCATGAAGAGTTGAGGTCTGGAGCAGTGGCGGCCCTCAGGACACTCAAGCCTTCTCTTGAGTCTTGAAGAGAGTTTGACAGAAGGGTGCTTCCCCGACAAAAAGCTGAGGCGAATGTGCCATAGCCAAAGTGTCTGGGGAGCTCTGCAACTTCCAAGATCGCTTCGACCAGTTGAAAGCAGTGGGTTCCTCGGAGCCCAAAAACTCCGGGTTAAAGAGACGGGTACGTGAGGCTGAATTAAAGGTGCTCTCTGAAAAAAGGTGCTCTGAAAAAGGGGGCACTTCGAAGGGCTCTCTGTCTGAGGTGGTGCACAGCCTGGAGAGTGAGCGTGACGGCCGCCAGAAGTCGGGTAGCCCTGGGAAGAGAGAGACGCATCATCTTTTGTTTGGTGAAGTAAGAGGCATCTTTTGTGATGTTGTATTGCTTTACCTGATTTGAAAACTATTTTTGTTGGGAAAGAAGGTGGGAAGAGGGGGCGCCTGTCGAGGCTGGAGAGCATGCAGCAAGAGCTGGCGGACTGGAGCGGGTCCCAGCAAGCGATTCTTTCCTTTTGGCTTTCTCCTCTTCGTCCCCTTCAACCTTCTATTCCCAGCTCCATCTTTCTGAGCTCCATCTCCGCCATGTGCCCCATCTCAGCTGCATCTTTCGCGCGGCGAGGTTGGGCCAATCTCGATTCGAGGCGTGAGATGAGTCGAGTTTTGACGCAGTTTCACTACCCTTCTCCCCGCCCCTCCCTCCCAAAAGTGCAGAAAGTGCTCCAGATGCCCCATGCCCCAAGGCTGCATCTGTGAGGAAGGCGAGGTCCATCAGTCCATCTTGGTCCATGCTCCGCTTTGTCTGAGACACTCCTGGCACGAGGCGTTCTCTGCAGCAGTAGAGGCCAACAAAGAAAGCCTTCAAATCGGGCGTCGCTGCCGAACTTGTCACTGGTCTGCGAGCCAAGTGAAACATTCTTGTTCTTCATTGACAGGTTGGACGTGGCAGCAGTCTTACTATTTTTGATTCGCGCGTGCTGACACGCACAAGCCTCTCCTCAAGGGCTCGAGTTACTCTAGTTCGCTAGGCTGCAAACCAAATAGCCAACTTTATGGACGAAGTGCGTGGCTGTCTCGGATGTTGGCGCCCTCACTGCAGCACTCTACAGCAGCATGTCTCCGTCTCCAAGGTGCAGAAAACCAGAAGATCCTGGAGCAAACAGCTGACATTCAGCGGCAGACCGCTGCCACATGTAGCAGCTTCAGGACATCACCGCCATGCACCGCAATGCACCGCAGCTAGACGCCTGCCAATCTCTCACCTTTTCGTGGTTCCAGGGCGGAGCTGGACGAGCACCAGCGCCAGCGTCAATTCGCCGATGCACGGACTGAGGTGCTGCGCACGGAATGCTTCGTTGGTTGTGATGTTGTGCTGTTTTGTGAGAGGCCATCCTCCACGAGTTGCGAGAGGCACGAAAAACGGACACCTGCGCAGAGCTTGATTGTCGCAAGCCGAACGCAAACAAGTTAAGGCGCTGGACGAGTACGACCGCCGGAGGAAGTGACGACCTCGACACAGCACAAGGATGCAAAGAACCGAGGCATGGGTGTGGTGGGTGCCACTTAGGCGAGAAAAGACTACCCTCGAGCTGCAGATGAAGGACGGGGTCAATGGTGCTTGCTTTTGTCTCCATGAGCTCCATGAACAGCACGGTACTGGATCTGAGAGAGTGGTGGGAGAATGTGGGTGCCGATATAGGAGGTTGGGCAGCAACTGGCCATCCTCCATGGATCCGTCGAAAATGCCGTCCGAGGTCATCTGATCTGACGTTGGGCGACTTTGTTTTAGAACTTTGTAGACTTTGCACGAACTGCGCAGCTTGCAAAAGCCTGGAGCCCCTCTGTGGCGCGCTCGTTGAGGCAGGGGCGGACAACTTGCTAAATGCTGCTAGAGCAGACACGGCTAGGTGTTGGCCATGCAAGTGTCCTTGGAGCGACAGGCGGGTACGGCGTACAGCCATACTGGCCCGTGTAGCTGCATGACCTCGTAGCCTCCATGTTGCAGGAATTTGCAGACTGGCATCGGGTCTCGTTAGTCGGCTACAAGTCTGTCTCCACCACGCACAAGCCCGCTGAGGTTTGGGCATTGTGACATGATCCATGAATGTATCCAAGGATTATCATAGCAGCTGTAATCGAGCACTTTCCATGTGCGTTCCAACACATCTGCACATGAGATGCGAGGTCGATGACAGCGCCTCGAAGTCTCCCTCGAAGTCGCCACCGAAAGTCCCCAAGCAGCCGAAGCCACGAAGGGAAGGGGAAAAGAGATGGGAAGAGAAGAGCTCTGTGAGGGGATGCTCTCTGAGGGTTCTTGTTCTCCTTCAGTCTCAGGTCGCCTCGGAGGAAAGGGGACCCCTCTCAGGCATCTCAGCACGTCAAAGCCTGTTGGGGACGTCGCCTCTCAGCGCACAGCGCCTTGGGGAGGTAATCAGCCTGGACAAGCGGTGTTACTCCTGCTGCAGCCAGAGCCAAATGGTCATGGCCGGCTTCAAGCCCGGGGGCCCAGAGAACAACAGCTCGCAGAGATTCGCAGAGAGCCGAGCTTTCATCGTGTCTTCGTCTCTCCGCTGCTTCGAGGATGGCATGTCTGCAGTACAAGCCCTCGCCCGTTGCCTGCAGCGGAGGACATGTGCTGGCACTTCTAGCAGAGTCTGGCAGCACTACATAGCTGAGCTCTGGTCGGGCTTGGAGGCATCTTCGAGCGAGTGGAGCTGTTCGATCACATGGCCAGCACCTTTCTCTTGCACAACGGGGCAGTGATGCGGCAGAGCCGCTGCTGCTCAGAAGCCAAGCGCTTGAGGAGCAGCTTCTGGAAGTCGCACGTGAGCGTGTTCGGTACAACCGAGACGAGGAAGCTTGTGCACTCCCGCGCGTGTGGTGCACCCCCGACGGGGAACCCCTTAACAGCCAGTGCCGCTGTGTGTTCCAAGTGGAGGAGGTGCTGCTGCCGAGTCCGTTCGGTTCAACTGGCCCGGATCTCAGTTCTCATGAAGGAGAGATGAGGAGAAGAAGACGGATGATGGAAAGACAGTTTGGAAGAGTACGTGTAGCAGAAAGTGTGGTGTGGCCTGCCAGGACAAGGGGCTGAGGCATTCGCCTTCGGCTTAGCAGCCTAGCTCGGCTTAGCCCGACTTAGCTGACATAGTGCGCACAGCGACGGGCATCACAAGGACATCACATCAGAGGGCACCACAGGGCACCACAGGGCATCACAGGGCAACATGGTCGGCGAATCCGAGGCCGTTTCTGCACCGCCAAAGGCCCCTGCTCTGCCGATGTGTGGTCTCTGGGTCCTACTGTGTATCCCACGTCCTTCCTTCAACTCTCAGGCCAAAGCCCTTGCTTTGCCAGCGTTGTCTCCGAGGCTTGGATTTCTGAAAAGTTCCCTGTTCTCCGACAGCTTTCTCGGCCTGCAGGTGAGGTGAGAAATCCCTGCTGAAGGCAGAGGTTCTGACGTGCTTTGGAGAATCCAGCCCAGTGGCCCCGGTGGCTAGCATTGGCTAGCCACAAAGTGATACAAAGTGGAACCACGTGCCCTCGTCTCGCCATTTGGATTTTGGGCTTGATTCTTCTTGACGCCCCCTGGTGTGGCAAGTTGCTACCAGGATCGCCGTGTACAAATGCGAGGACCCTCGCTTTAACACCTTCCCCTGTGACTGTGGTCGCCTGGCCTTTTCCTCTAAAGCCCTGGCCCTTGCCAAACACTGGCATCCACTAGCCTCACCCGAGACCCCCTGCTCAGCCGCCTGGTGTTGACCAAAACATTGGGGGGGGGTTAAGGTAAAGTGGGTATGGCAACCTAGAGGCAACATATTGCTCTTGAGATTCGCTCGGTGACTCGTGCAGCCGCACACTTCCGTGCACGTCCCTGCACGTCCCTGCACGCCGTTGCCTGGTTTCTTGGTCCAAACCTGGAGACGGACCCTGGAGAGACCGCGTTCCAGAGGCGAAGTGGTGCTGTGAGGGGGCTTTGTGTGGGTTTTCCCTCGCATGAGAAGCCTCAATAGTTAATGGCATTAACTTAATGCATGTTCATGTGGAGGAGACACAAACGGCAGCACTGCATTCCTGAACTGTAGGTTCAGGATACTCGGGTTTTCAGTGTCTGCCTTGTACTTATCTGTTAATTCCCATGGAAGTAAACCGAGCTTTCTGCGCCTGCTGCACAGGCTCCTGGCGATGCTTTCAGTCGCAAACTATTTGAAGTGTCTTGGCTGCGAGTGCTCGGTCTAGACTGGTCTGCAGGACCTGGGGCCTACGAAACCTGGAACGTCCAATGTTTTGGAAGCGCCAAGGAAGCCTCGACGTGGTGAGCCACCGCCCAGTGATGTAGGGCCAGGGTCCGCAACCGAAACCGGTTCGGGGATTGTGCCGGGGCCTGACGCTTTCTCTGGGCCAGTCCAACAGTATCTGATCTGCGAACCTGTCCTTGAGGCAATGCTTGAGAGTGAAGGGCTTCTGCGTCATTAACCATGCCGTTTCAGAAAAGTGCTCCCCGCCTGCTTTTTTGCAGGTCCATAGCCATAGACTTTCATGTGACAGCGCCACAGAGCGAGCCCGTGCCAGGATGGTCACAAGCGCATCTTCCGAGCTGGAATCCCAAGAATGGTATCAGCCCGCAGTCCTGATTCAGGCGCGTTGCGCTCGAAGAACTCTGGCCTTCGCTGGTTTCTAATGGCGTGGGCTGGTTCTTTCCGCTGCTGCCGGCCTTGCTCAGCCTCGTTTCTGCCAGGAAGGCCTGCTGGGCGTGGAGGGATCCAATCGAATTGCCAAAATGGCATCAATCGACTTTCCTGAAAGCAGCAGCGAGCAGTTTCAGGCCAGGCCATGTCTCGACACTGTGCACGTGGAGAGCTGTGGTTCATCACTCCCTCGTCCAGGATGGCCTCGCAGGTATAGATTTTGCAATGTGGAAGCTTGCGGAGGCCCGAGCTCTACAGTAGCGCCCAATTTCTGTCTTCTGAAGTCTATTGGAGCCTATTGGAGCCTATTGGAGCCTATTGGAGCCTATTATGGAGCCTGTTGGATCCCTTCTGTTGCCAGGCCATCGGCCCTTTCCAGGATGAGATTGGCTTCCGATGCTGTGGTCGGAGCGTGGGGTTCCTGCACCAGGATCGGCCCCGTGACTGCCATGTCGCATCTGCCAAACTCGTGTGCATCACCGTGCAACCGCAGCAAGGCGAGCGACCCCGACCTAGAAGAAGCAGAGCTGACCGACCAGGAAGCCAGCGACTGGCCCCTGAGTTGCATCAGTGGCAGGAAAACACAAAAAGTCGGTGAAGGGCCCGGTGTTTTGTGCACCTTTTGCACCGCCCTTGACTCCTAGGAGCGCCATTTTTACGAGCAGAAAGATTCTGATTATGGTTTGTTTAGGCCGCTGGCTCAGCTTTTCGCCGGGCTGGGGCAGTGGGTGGCAGCACTTGTGGTGCGCCGAGGCCCTGGCAAAGGAACCCTTGAGATGCAGCCCTACGATGACGAGCCGGGGCCTCAACATGTCTTCGAGTCCATCGAAGTGGGTGCTGACCTTGAAATTCTCAGAATTTCTCAGAAATGGGCACTGAAAAATATGAGAAGATCTCACAAAGATCAACCTCCCACGATTCCCAGGGCGAATGTCTCGGAGATCACCACCGTGCCCGGTCTTGTGGTCACAACCCAAGCAGCTATTCAAAGGGCCGGAATGGGGCAGCTGTCTTGTACCGTGACAGTGACTGGCAGTGGCAATTTGCGTTGATTACAGGTCGTGCTCCGCACGGACCAGCTTTCCTTCAAGTTCTTCTGCAGAGGACGAGAGGCACTTCAAGAGCTGCACCTACTGTACAGGAAACATACGCATGCGCGGTTTGCGGAGTTACAACAAGAACAGCTCGTGACCAGGCTACGCATGTGGCCACCTCCTTCATGCTGCAGAACGACATTTTGCGAATGCACAGAAATAAGTCCCACCGGCCTGTTTTGTTCGCTCTCGTGAATTGAAGGTGGGCTCTGCGATGCTGTGCTAGTGCTGTGCTGAAGGCTCGAAGCACACCTCACCCCACCTGCCCAAGAACTAGATCAATGGATCGACCAGCGCCTGCGGGTTATGCCGGCAGACTTGACGCAACATATGAAGGGCTTGCTCTCATGTTTCCACCTGCACATGATGGAGCATCGCAGGAAATCAAAGAGATGGAGCCTGACGAGCCCACAGAGGAATGGACCGCCAAGGGGGACGTTCCCAGGACAAGGGGATCAAAGGTTTGGAACAGGTTTGAGACATGTTTGGGAAAGTGCTTGGGACAGTGCAGAGACACAGTTCAAGAGTTCAAGAGCTGGCAGGAACTTCATCCACGCCGCCAATCGGACCTGGTTCAAACGCCAGACCACCGTCTGCAAGGGTGCGGCTGCCAGGCGGGGGCATCCCGGAGAGAGCCTGGACACGCCATGCAAGGCGCACAGTTGGCCTCTCGATCAGGTTACCGGTCACCTGGGAGCCGGAGGTGTTCTTCCTCGGTTGCACGGCAGGCCCAGCACGCCGTTGCCGTTGTCTTCCTGCTTGAGCTTTGAGTAGTCAATGCATCTTCGAGGTTGCGACACGGTCATTGAAGTCCCGATCATGCGATGGGAACATGACACCGTGTGTGTGCCTGAGTTCATTGCTACGCAGACTCGGCAGTGTTCCGCTTTGCTTGCCAAGACCTGTATGCTTCTCAGGTACGACCCTTCCCCTGATGCGTGGAAGAAAGACCCGCCGATGACCAATTGCAGGCTGTGTTGGTGGTGGATGCAGTCCTCGGTAAGCTAAAAGCTGGCACCCGCTTTCGGGCCTTTGCTAGGCACGCTTCTTTCGTTGATGGAGTGGATCTGTTCGACAACAAGCTCTTTGGTTTGTCCCTGGCAGAAACCAAAGGCCGGGAGCAGTTCTCGGTAAGTTGGTTTCTGGGCGACTGCTGGGTTACCTAGGCATGGACCCCGGCCAGCGCTTGGTGCTGGAAGTCACCTACGATGCACTCTACAGGAGCCTTGACAAAGGCACATAAGTCTTTGCTTTTTCTCCGTGCTCTGCCCTCAAGGAGTGGCATGAGGAAGAACACGCTGATCAACTCCACCTGTGGTATGTATGTCGTGGGCCCAATGCATCCGATATGCTGAGCCGACATAGGAGCTCAACGACGACGACCGAAAGTAACACCAGAGTCAACGATGACAACAGCATGTTGCCTAAAAAGCGTGGTCCCAGGTGGGCACATCCTTTAGCGAGTGGAACTCTGCAGAGAAAGCAGCGGATGCCGGCCACCTGGTGAAGTCAGCGGGCAGGGACGGGTTTCAGCCTGCTGACCTTGTCAGGTTGGCATTTTTGGTGCCACAGGAGGAGCTCCCAGTATCACCGCTGGGCGTTGGGATCTCAGCAAAATCTCAGCTCAGTGGCGCTTGCACCCCATCCAATGCTCTGATGCATCCTTCAAGGTCTCAGTTTCTGCCTTGGATGCAAAGGGGCCAGTTTAGCCATTGACACGGAGGCAGGGCCAAGCGAGCGCCTGCTGGTGCTTGCACGTGACTCTTCAAGCAATGCGTGCCTGCCTCACGCACAGGCTGCCTCAGGGCTGTCTGCCGTATTCTGGGCGGCAGAAGCCGTTGAAAAGAAGGGTGCCGGTCACATACAGGCTTGCAGTCGACAGGTTCCGGAAGAGCTTCATGGGTCCATGCAAGTTCGCAGGAGCTGTCCTGTGGCATCGGCGTGCATCTCTGCCTGGCCAAGGCCACCTGACGGAATCTTTTGAGCTGTCCTTGAGGTATTCTCGAAACACATATCTTTGAGATATCCTGGACACACACACACAGACACATTTCGGACATCAGCATGAATATCACTGTGCAGATAAGCATAAGCATAAATATCAGTATAGACTTAGATATACATTCAGACAACAAGATACACAAAGAACGAAAACTACCTGCAGCTACAACTACACAGATATCCGTCACCATGATTGGTTTAACAGTCGCGCAGGCATGGTGGCCGGCTCACACTGCAGCGGGCTTCCTTTGCCCGGGGGGCCGCTGCTTCACTTTTGACGCAAGTGCGCAGGGCCACGTGAGGCACGGGAGTTGCTGTGTCTTGAAGAAGGTAGCTTCTGCTGTGTTTTCCTACCTGCTTGCTTTGTTTTCGAAGCATCAATTGAATTTTGAATTGTATCTGTGTGTCCGGTGTATTGGTGTGTTCTTGTGGGCACAGATTCTTGCGAAACACATCTGTGCAGGTCTGAGGGTGTTGGCACGGTTGTGCTCCGCTGCCAAGAGAAGATGGACGGACAAGAGGCACCAAGGGTGTGCGGCCTGTGCACATGTGCGGTTTACCCCACGGATGTTCAGGATAAGGAAGAGCTTTCGGTCGGCACGATTGTCGGTGGCGCCACGCAGAATAGCGGCAAGAGCGCTGGAATGCCGTGGCCTCAAGGGCCGTCTTCTTTGAAAGAAGTTTTTTGCTGTTGTGCATCCGGCAAGTTGAAGAGTTGAAGACTATATATAGGGTTGCGTGATGAAGCAGAGGAGCGCTCCTTCTGGCCCCGCAGAGCAGGCGGTGCTTGTGGAGGTGCGGAGAGCGTGAGGTGCTGCAGTTGAGCTGCAACATGCTGCAATCCATGTGAATTCAGATCCAGTAGGCCTGCAGAAAATCTGGCATCACCACCTTGGATGTGGATGTCGTTGAGTGCCACGGATCGGGCCGCTTCATCGCGGATGCCATCGAGGTACGCTTTTTGATCAAGTGCTCTTTGTGAGTTGAGAGGTGACGTTCTGCGCTGCTGCAGCGGTCTGTGCCAGGCTGCATCGTGTGGTAGAGCCCTGAGAGAGGGTGCAGATTCGAACGAGGAGGAGATGCACGGAAGCTCAGTGCAAGGGGGCGCTGTGATATGGCATCTTGTCTCAGCGTCTGTGAGTGCTGGTCTGACGCTGGTAACTGCCCAAGATCGCGACTGCTAAGAGTTGCGGTTAGCTTTTGTTTGACATGCAAGACAGCCGCAATGGAAGCTCATCATTCTTCCCCAAAACGCTCTGAAAGGCTACTTTAGATTGCGAGTAGACACGCTTTAGCTCAAGCCTTGCCATGCCAAGCGCCAGCAATGCGTCCGCAAGCTTTCGCCCATGTTGCAAGGGCAGTGGGTCAGGAGCTCAGCACAAGCTAAGGGTGGGATCTTGGACGTCGCATCATTGCCCATTGGCGTTTAAGTCGGTCTCGTTGCCTCTTTCCTGTCTTTTGCAGGGTTCACAACTTTTTGTGCACCAACTGCCGCACCGTTGCTTTTTGTTTTGGAGGTTTTCCCATTGGCTTTGTGGTTTGATTGAAGCGGCTTTCGACGAAAGTGCTGTGCCCTCCAATGTCACCAGCTGGTTCTTTGAGGGCTGCTCTGCTTTCGCAAGGGAACAGCTTTAACTTTAGGCACGAAGTGCAGTCGTTGTTGCATCAATGGCCGGTCTCAGCTCCGGCCGCGTTTCATTTAGGCACCCGTGGTTCAAGCACCTGGCAGTTCAAGCACCAGGGTGGTTCCAGCAAACACGATTCAAAAACAAATCCCAATTCAAGCATTGGCGATTCAAGCACTGGCGATTGAAGCACGTGCGCTTCTTTTTTAGGCTTGAGAGACTAGCGTTTGGGGCTTTTGGCTGAGGATTTCTAGGATTTTCGGTTGTTGTTCAGGGTTTACGGCTGCAAGGGTTCAGGGTTTAGGGGTTTTGCGCCCCAGGCCATCTGGGTAATGCCAGATTTTTCACGTAAAGGTGCGGGTTTTCGAGTGCCTTTTGGTGTCATTATGTGTCTTTTGGGTGGAGGGCTTTTGGGATTTGGAGCTTTCAGGGTTTTAGGGTTTCTCGATTCCGTAGGTTTCAAGCTCATATGTTAGGGTTTAGGGTTTCGCATCACCCCCTTACTTCAATCTCTCGATTTTGAGGGTTAGGGTGTCTATGGCTTGGGGGTTTAGAGTGGAGGGTTTTTCGGATTTGCGACTTTTCGGGTGTAGGGTTGCCAGGGTTGCTAGGGTTGGTTGTTGGGTACAGGGGTTCTAGGGTTGTGTTTGCAGACAATTTTTTAGGGTTTACGGGTTTGCACCAGGTTGAGGGTGTACGGCGGCTCAGGGTTTTTAGGGTTTTCGCGTTTAGGGTTAAGGGGTGTCGCACCCCCCTATCTCCTGATTTTAACTTGCTCTTTCAGGCTAGGATCCATAAAAAAGTGTGCCCCAATAGGATGCCTCCAACAGACCCTGAACTCCGTGAGCGGCATTGGGGGTTGTCGAGTGAGAGAAGTGCAATGAAGTGCAGGGAAAGGGGCCGCTGAGAAATGCTCTCAGAGTATGCAACCTAGTCGCACCGAAATCGAAGAATTTGTCCTGGTCCGTGCATGAGTGAGGCTTGACAGGCCTGCTGACGGTCCAAGCCACATGGTTGCAAGTGAGGCTATCATATTAAAGTCACTTCTGCAAGGCCGGACTGGTTGCCTCAAAGATCGCTGAGAGGGATGATCTGACAGACAAGGCCTACCAAACGCGCCGACAGCCAGTTCACTGTTTCTTCCCGCAAACCTCCCGGCAGCGCCTGGGCTTGTTTGCAGACCATCCTTGCTCCTTCTCTGGGCCATGCTGATACTACCGCATACTCGCTGCAGGCAACTGGGCTGGGCCGGTCAACGTTCCAGAAGATCCAGGGCATGCGTAGGTGACAGCCACCTGGCGGGGACTCGAGTGCCATTGAAATCTTCGAGTCATGCGCCTCTGCATCATGCATTGCTGAGCGTCTGGATGCAAGGAGAGCTTGTTCGAATTGCAACCCTTATCAACAAGCTTGTGGACATGGATGGCTGGGACGAGGATCAGGAGCAGGAGCTTTTTGAGAACTCCGTGTCGACTTGCCTCGAGGTGATTTCAAGGGGCTTGGCGCCCCCACACTATGATATGCTGCACACTTCGAGGGGCTTCTTGGTGGCATCTGAGTCTATGAAAAGACAGGTGTGTCACAGGTCTGACCAACATTGCCAAAATGAATCTCAAGAAAATACCCCAAATAATTTCAGTATTACAAGTCATACCGGCACACTCTCGGCTCGGCATTCAGCGGCCCGTGCAGTTCACGGTTGGGTTTGGCTTATATTTGTCACATCCCACAATCAGCTACAGAATGCTGCAGAGCAGGACCAGCATCTTTCTGGGTTTCTGCACGTGAATCATGCCTTGAGGGAAGCTCTCACATGCATGCCTTGCATGTTTGCTTTGTGGTGCTTTTTCACTGGCTTTGTCACGCTGTCGCTTTGGCAAAGTCTTCCACTGTCTTTCCTGTTCAGGGCCCCTCGGCGAGAAGTCCGTGGACCTCCTGACCGCCAACTTGGTGCAGCTTTGCAAGGCGGAGTGCCGCTTCCCGTACATGGATGAGCAGGACAAGATGAGGACCATTCGTGCCGTTGTCTGGGTCATCGTGGGGTCCTTGCAGCCCGGCCGGACGCTGCGCTCCTACACCAAAGAGCTCTGTCGGGACGAAGAGTCCACCCAATCGGTGGTGGTGGAGGTCTTCATCGAGGGGGCCATGGATGTGTTCTTCGACAGTGAAATGCGGCGCTCCCTGATCCAAGACCTGAAATCCCACATTCCGGACTTGCCGTTGGTCCCGTTCCTCTTCGAGAACATCGCAGAGTTCCTCATGAAAACCTTCAGTGACACACTGCATGAAACACTCAAGGACGCGTACTTCATCTTTGTCGATGCGCGGAAGCTCCGTGAAGACCTTCCGGTCCTCCCGACGGTTCTCTCTGGCGACCTACAAATGCAAGAGAGCCTGCTGATGCAGTACTGTGGCCGGCCTTTCATGCTGCAGCTCCGCCGTCTCCTCATCGACCGTCTCCTCGAGGATAACTCCAAGAGTCTTCCAATCTTATCCAAGCTGTCCTTGCGGAGACAGGCCCTGGTGCTTGGTCGGTTTGTGGACCTGCTGTTCAGTGCCTTGCCGGGCTTGGCCAAGATCGAAGATACTGTCCAACCTTTTCACCGGTACATGCACGATGCCACGAGTGGCTTGCAACTGCCGACTCCGACGCACCCAGTTCATGTGGAGGTACCGGTGCCGTTAGATGACCTCACCACTGCCTGGCACAAGCTGAGCGATTCGCTTGGAAGATGGCGAGACGCTTGCCACATGCTCTAGTTGCACTACACCAGTAGTATCTGTAGCTAAGCAGTAGCTGAACGCAGACAGTTTTCTGGTGTGATATGCCTGTGCCTCGTCGGCTGAGGATGCGTTTGCCAAATCGCGGAGGCCTGAGGAGTTGTCCCCAGAGATGATCAGGAGGTCGCTTGTCTCCCGGGACCTGGGTGACTTGGGTGACCTGGGTGACCTGGGTGACCTGGGGAGTTCCGGGAGGCCCCAACGAATAGCACGCGCCAACAGCTCTGAGAGCTTTGGCAGCGACGAGAGCCCGGGATCCTGTGCCACCCCGAAATCGAGTGCCGCGTATTTCGAACAGTACGACTCTGAGCTTGAAGAGTTCCGCTTTAATTTTTCAATGAGAACTTGTGACACAGTGAGCCCATTTCAGGCAGCGAGCCCGAACAACTTGGAACGCTCGCCGAGCAAAAATTCAGTGCAGGTGTAGAGACAGACATTTTGAAGTAGAGGCCGTGCTCGAGCACCTCCGGCTGATTTGCTGAGACGAGGTGTTTGGGTCTGCGAGATGCAAGAAGCGTAGAAGTGTGTTTTTCTTGGCCGGCCTCCTCCATGGAATGCCAGTCGGGGGAGACACGTGTGTCTTGTACAGGGAATACCTCCATACCTCCGGCATGCCATGAGCGTGCCATGGTTAGCTTTGGACCGCAACGGCTATCCACTTTGTGACTTTGTGGGGAATGTCTGGATCGCCCAGTTGCCCCCCACGAGAAATGGCATGCTAGTAAGGCATGGATGATGCCAGCGTCTGATTTCCAAGGGCTGTTTGCGCGCGATCAGGTTGCAGCTGTGCAGCATGAAGACCAACATTGGCAACTGCATCGAGACGTCCGGGATTGCAAGCTTGATCAAGACGTTCCACAGCATCAGGCAAGCTCCACCCGAAATAAGACCTATGCCATATGCACAGCTGAATGTGTGTGTGGGCAACACTGATGTGATAGAACAATAGAGAATTGCGATATCAGCTTGTTCGCCAGGTGGGGCATTGTGTGTGCGAACAACCACCTGCACCAGCTGAACCCACACTTGGACATTTCAAGCTGCCCGTGGTGCTGGCATGTCAACATGCAACCGCGAACGAAGTGATGTTCAACACCCCGCCAGGCTTCTCATGTGCACTGAGCCAAGTGAACAAAAGCTCAGCGCCGTCTTCGTTGGCGTTAGCTCCTGGGGTTTCGGAGGAACTAATGCTGGCGGCCTACTGCTGCATTTGGCCGAAAGTGGTGTGACCGGCTGCAAGCGTTGGATCGTCCTGGCAACAAGGTCCATTTGCATTGCTACGGTGGCGTCGACGAGGACCGCCAGCAACATGAAGCATGCTTCCAGCTGAGCTGTCCTTTGCCAGACTGCTGACATATGCTGACGCCAGGAGATTCGCCTCCCGCCAGAGCCCACCCCACAGGAGCTGAGACCCAGGCGTGCACGGCATGGCTGCGTAGCCCTTCTCATGCAATTTGACATGCAGAGCTATGGTGTTTGGGTTGTTGTGGGGTTTAAGGACAGGGTGGGGTGGATATGAAGTGGTACCAGTTGTGCTTGTCCCTGCAAGGAGGGACTGCTTGAAGAGTGATCCGCAATGGCAGGCTGTCGTACTGGCCGAGTGGCGGCGGCGATTTGGGAAGCATGAGCCGACCCCGAAGGCATGATTGCTTTGCCTTTGCCTCCTTTTTTCTGCTTTTGTTTCGCATGTGGCGGGAGCAGTTCACGACAGCCCGAGACAGGGGCTTCTTCATCATCGGCTCATGGAGTGGCTGGACTGAGCCAGAGCCAATGGAGGCAAAATCTGCCAAAACCTTCCGAAAAACTACAACTCTGAACCCGAGCACCCAAAGCCCTTGTTGAGTTTTAACATCTCTCCCGGAGAACTAACATAGCATATGCACATGCATAGCGCGACATGGATGGGTGGCAGTCGGTTGCCCAAATGCTGAAGCTTGAACCCTGAACATCCCTAAGCCCTCCAGCCTACGCAATGCCAGGACGAAGGGGATGGCTGCAGCGGCCCTGGTGATCATGCGTGGGAATATAAGTGCGAATTTTCTAGGGCAAGTACGGGCATAAAGTCTGGATGCAAGATACTGCGAGGCTACGGGTACACGCTTGTCCTGGGCGATACCAGATGGGCCGGGGCCCCATGCCAGTATGCATCTAGAGAATCTATATCTGCATGTTCATGAATACAACTCGGCATCCTTGCTGCAGGAGCAGTTCCAGCTGCTCATTGACAACAGCTATTCCAAGGCCTGAGAAAAGTTTCTTGCCAATCGTTGCAGAAGCTAGGGGCAGAAGTGCAGGTGCTGCACCCGCAGCGCTACAAGGCACCAAGGGCTCATGGTGGTCGCTTGCTTCTGTTCTGCCCTGGGAAGTCGGAGTGCAGGCGCCAAAGGGAACGGAGGTGTTTGGACCAACTCGGCAAGAGGAGGTCATGCAGGCACCAGACACTTGATAGAAGAGAGCGATGCCACTGGAGAACATTTCTTTGGGAAGCAGAGTCAGCTGGCAGTCATGATATCGGCCTGGCAGGACAGCACTTGGTTCGTTGATGGACGGCCCTTTAGCACCCAGATCCGTGCCATCACGGCTTCAGCAGGTGCTGTCGATGCATTCTTAAGGGTAGAGCCGTGCTGTAACTTGTCTCTTTCCATCTCTCCGTGTCGAATGCTATATTGAAGATGCGAAGTAGGTTCGACGGCGGTGGCGACTCCGGAGCCGTTGACCTTCACCAACGAGGACTGAGCATTGCACTGCCTTGCCACTCTCTGCAATCCCAGATGAACATCGAACGTATCAGGACGAGGGTCTGCCAGGTCAGCTGTACCGCATCCGTTCGGCTCTCGGGAGCATGCGGACTGTATGAAAAATCGCCACTCTGCTCTTTTTTTGATTGTTGGGGGGGGTCAGGCCTGCACATCGCTGGCAAGTGGAGAACGGTCACATGGGCCAAAGCCAAAGAGGCCGGTCGGAGTCGGATTTCTTGTCTTCATCACATTGCAGTGCTGAAGAAGCCGATGCCCAGCCCTTGAGTCTGTGAGGCTCCCCAGGGTCTCCTGGCCCTCAAGGGACCTGAGGCCCTGCCCTGGGAGTTTCTTCATTTCCCTGTCCGTGTGTTTCACCGTCCTTTTGTAGAGTTGGCTTCAATCTGCAGGCCAAATACTATGTCGCAGGCAGTTGGAACGTGCGCATCTCAGCTTCTAAGCTTCCGAAGGAACATCTTGCTTGTGACAATCAGTGATGTGATTGAGTGATGTGGGTCTCCCTTGCCAGAACTATCGGTTCGAAGAGATGACGGCCGCTAGCGAAGGCACCTACACTTGCGAGGCAAGTCTGCCTACGATGCCTATGGGATACACATGGTCATTAGAGACGTGCAGCAGCGACTGCTTTTTGGCGTGCCAAAGCGTGTTAGGTATCCCTGACCTCTGGTCCTAATCGGTTCCAGATTGCGAGAAATGGTGACTGGCACCAGGCTGTCTCAGACTCAGGCGTCAGTTTCTTGTCCACTGTATTTTGAGGGTTTGGCGTTTGCACTTTGTTTTCCCAGATGGTGCCGTGGTTGCTAAGATTTTCCCGGTATCGCCAAATGCTGGTCCGACCGTCGCGTGCTTGGCCAACTCAGCGAAGTGTGCACAAAGGGCCCTAACATGAAGGTCCAGACTCAGTGTGAACCCAGGCTGAGATAGAAGGGCCAATCGACCGGAAGGATCGACACTGGCCTGGTGCTGAGCATACCCAGAAGAAATTCATATGGCCGTTGTTGCAAGTCCTCTACAAGTGCTGGCGCAGGGGCCTTTCTTGCGCATCAGGTTAGTCAGCGCAAGCACGGGAGACAAGCTCAAGATTACTTTCCAGCGCACCATCGATGCCTCGGGCAGCAGCAAAATGAAGGCCATCCTTTTGATAAGGGTTGCTTAGCTCGGCCAACTTGACATCGTAGTTAGAACAGACTCTTGCCTTGCCTTGCTGGCACAGGTGCTCTGGGAGAAGTTCTAGTCGGAAGGCCCCATGCCACCTGCAGTACTTTCGACACTGGCATCTGACTTGCCTGGAGGCCCTGAAGGTGCGCACGGGACTCGGGCTGCCAACATCTTCGTAGAATCCTACGATTTCCATGCTTCTGGTCGGAGAAAAAGATCGTGCACGCGAGCGGGCTGCAGTTCGGAGCCCGCATGCATGAATCGCTCACGGAGATGACAGCGGAGACCAACACTTGCGCTGTGAATGGGGCTGCAGACATGCCGCTACCTCCGCCAGAGTACTCAGCGCATGGTGCCAGCATGCAAAGTCTCATGGAGATCAGCCAGCATCCAACATGACTTGAAACACTAGCGAAGAACTGTATATGAGCACATTGCAAAGTGCGGCTCAATTCAAGCTTGAGCCCTTGCCAAACACATCGTCATCGCGTGCAAGTTGTAGCCGGCTGAGCGAGCTCCTCATCGCCATGGCCGGATGAGAGCATGGGCGAGAAACCTGATCCAAATGACTTCCTTCCCTGGCTGGGTCCAAGGGAGGCAGGAAGCGGCACGGCACATGACGCAAGATGGCTTCGGAACCTTGCAACAAGTAGTAGTCGTTGTCGTCGGGCAGTGATGGTATGTGGATGTGGTGGTGGTGGTGGTGGTGGTGGTGGTGGTGGACATGCTCAACGTCAGCCGTCACCTTCGCTACAGTCGGTGACGTCCTTGCTGTGTATGCAACAAGTGGACTTGCGCTTGAGTGATGGAGTTTGCTGCTTGTGTCACTGCTTCCGACTTAATAACTAAGAAGGGTCAGGAACCCTTCTTAGGACTATGTGAGACCGGCACAAGACTATTCACCCATCCGATGCGCCCGGTGCAGGTATTCGAGCCACCCGCAGCCCTGGACGGCTTTGGGTTTCCAGATCTACTAGGCGCACTCGTCGGGAAAGGGCACAACAAAGTAAGACCTCAGATAAATTACGTTGCTCGTAGTAGAAAGTAAGCTGATCTCGAAGACCCGTTTCCCAAATCCCGTGAGCAGGACTCAGGCATTCTTGACCAGCCTTGCTGGTTGATGGCATCATCAGTTCGGGTGCGGGCAGCGCTAAGAGATGTTCAGCAAATCCGGCAGGTCCGCTGGCACCCCCCGATCCACCGGGCAGGTCGGGCTGCCGATCTCGCTGATCAGTCTGACCCTGTTTGAGACTGATCCCCATTCTGCCTGCACAGACCGGGGTCAGCGCCGCCAAATCTTGATCCTGATGGCGCCCTGCTGAGCATCCTGTCAGTGGCAAGTGTGAACAAGTTTTTCCATGAATGCGAATGCGATGCAACGTGTCGCCTCGCAGACTATGCATTCCGGGCCGCGGCTATTGAGGTGGGCATGATTTGCATGACTCGCATATACTCGCATGGTTCGAAAGCACTGCGTTTACTTGATGTTTACTTGTGTCCCATAGCGGCGTAGCGCCACTATGATGAGCCATGATGAGCCATGTCTCTTCCCACATCTTTCAGGCACTCGAGCCGGGGCGCGGCCTGGATGGCCTTGCGATCACAGACCTACTAGGTGCGTTCGTTGCGAGAACGCAGGGCATCTGAAGGCATGGCTCTCGGAGCAATCTCGGAGCAGGCTCAATGCCTCTGCAGCTCGACCCTCCGGGCAGGCCACAAAAAATATCCGAACACCTTCGTTCGAACACCTTCGAACACTTCGGCTTCTGCTTCGGTTGCCTTCCCTTGCAGACCGGGCTCGGCTCCGCCCATCCTACATCCCGATGGTGCAAGCCACAGATAAACACGGTGGCAGCAAAGGGCGCATGGTTCTTAGAGGCATGTTGAAGTGTGCAAAGCAGGCTACCCCTTCCAAACTGCGGCGACCTTCGAAGTGGGCACCCCGGCACCCCGGCATCCCGAACCTCCCGTGGGCTGGCTGGCATGTGGAAAGCTTGGATGTGTTTACACCGAGGCGGCACGGAAGGCGGCGTACCGGGAACAATTGGAGTTGCCAAGCAGACCACGATCTGCACCACTTGAGGAGGCTTGGAAGAGGCCAAGGCAGTGAAGGCTGTGATGTGTGTTGTCGCTTGCTTTCAGGAGATCGTCAACGTGCTGCATGAAGAGGCCCGAATCCTTCAAATTGTTGTCAGCTCAGGAGTGGTAGACGTTCGCTGCCAGGCCTTCCGTGTAGATCCGCGAGACAAAGATCTGTTCGCGTTCCAGGCTTTTTTTCTTATGTTTTGTGTCAGAGCGCAGTGGGCATCCAGGGTCGGATGGCATATGGATGGCATATGATGAAGCTGCCTGGTGAAGGCTCCAGCCGTGCCACCTCCAAGGTCGCCCTCCCCGTTCATGGGAGAAGGTGCAGACAACGTGCAGCTGCCAACAGAGTTCCAATAGAGTCACTAGAGCGTGTAGTGTTTACATGTGCTACGAACTGCTGAGAAGCTTTAACTTGCTTGGAGGCACGCGGGCGCTCTATGGACTAGCGTCCGCCGCGTCTGCAAGATCCTTGCAGGTGCCGTAGTTCCTACTGCAAGCACGGATTTGACTCGACTTAGCATATCTGTTGCAAAGAGAGTGTGGAACCTTCAGCACGGAGATGCGGATCAGGCGGCTGCCATGGCGCTGGAGGCAGCACCTGACTCGGTCACGAAAGTCAGCCCTGCCACTGCTGTAGCTGATGCTGTTAAACCGACTCTTCATCCATGAGATGTGGGAACAATTGGAGTTAGCTCGATAGAGTGTACAGTCTAGGAGACGGAAAGTGGAGAGTCTTCACCCGAGGATCGCTTCACTCCACCACCCACGCAGGCAGCTTCAGACAGAATTTAGTGCTAGTGATTCTCAGCCCTTGACAGCCCTTGTGTGCCGCTGCATATGCGACACCGCTGCAGAAGGCAGACATGGCTAACGAAGGTGTGTAACGTGCCACAAACCGGAGGTGCATCACAGCCTTCTCTCGCAGGCGCCTTGTAGTGGGTATGTTGCAAGAGTAAGGCGGCATGAGATGGCATGAGATGGCATGAGATGCCAAATTATTTTGCCAGTCTCCGGCACCTCACTCGCAGTCGCCTTTTGGCGTGCGCCTGGCATATTTGACGACTCTCAGCGCCTTCTTTGAGATTCCGAGATTCCTTGGGGTCTTTCCATGGTCTGCTCCAGTCTCCCGGCCTCCACGTCCCCGTCACGCGGCAAGCTCAGTTCCCACGCCGTTGGGTCATGGGAATTTTTGTATTGTACTGTACCCCCGCTGGGAGGAAGGAACACACCTGCTATGTTGGGGTGATGTTGGTTTTGATGGTGGAACGACGCAACGACTTGTAGGCACCAGCCGTTTGGTGATGATGCGCCGGCTCTTTTGCACCCTGGGGTGCGACACTGAGCGCGTGACACGTGCACTTGGAGACTGGAGACTGCTCGGGTGATGTCATGGCGGAGGCTGTCCGAGCCTTTGATCCCATCAATCGGCCCATATCGGCGCCACCTGCGCCAGAATCCAGCCTGGAAGGGCATCAGGTGGGACGTAACTTAAAGCCCCAAAGATGTTCAAATGGGTCGTGCAACTTGGCACAAGAGAGGCTGAATACTCTGGGGACATTCGTGGCAAGCTCAGCGGCGTTCTAGCTCTTGTAGCCGTCGGGCCCACTTGTAAATGTCGTGCCGAATTCTGCGTTCACGCGAGGTTGTGACCCTCTCTATCCGCACTTCTGGCAGATGAAGAAGGGGCAGAATGTGAGCTCCTACAGACATGCGGGGTCGATAAAAGTTCTGGGCCCTTTTGGGAGTTCCTAATACTTTCAAGTTGCACGCGACGAGGTCAATTTGCCGAAGCCCTTGGACCCCTGCGAGGCCTCTGAACAGCTCAAAACACGCAGTAATCGTACTCGCAATGAAGTGGCTGTGCGGGTGAGTGGCTCGGTGAGTTTCTTGCGGCCAGGAAATTGTCAATCATAGGGCCAACTGTACAGGGTTGCTGCCTCAGATCCCTTGCCATTTCAGAAAGCAGGCCAGAAAATCATGATGACGCTCTCTCTCTCTCTCCCTCTCTCTCTCTCCCTCTCACTCTGTGGAAGTGCAGAAGGAGTGGAGCAATGCCTTGTCAGGTCCGAATTTGGACAGTCGCAGCTGGCCTCGGAATCTCTGGACGTGGCAGGCCGACACAGCTTGACACTGCGGCATGTCTGCTGCTGCAAAGCAATAGCTTAGTAGCTTGTGTGCACTGCAAAGCTGAGCACTGTATACCTATGGCCCACGGCAGCTCAATCACCGCTGGGCCTGGGCTTCGCACCTGCGCAAATCTGAGATCACCTTCGTGCTGTGACAAATTGCATCTCTGAGTTGTGACCGCTGGGCTGTTGTGCCAACGGTTCCGACGAAGGCCACGGGCTTCTCGACATATGGGCATGTGCCTAGCATCTCGGTTCACAACGGCTGCTGGCAAACCATCTCTGGTCGGTAGAGCGTCTCCGGCACCGAAACAGGAAAGTGAGAGGAGTACGGGTGAGGACTGGACAGGCAGCGCAGAGCTCTGAAAAGATTCCTGGCCAAGGATCCCCCTCGCCGCCGTGGGACAGCAGGCCTCAGAATCTGTCTGGTTACAGATGCTCTAGCCGGCTGTTGATATGGTCTTGAAAAGCATTCACAAGCGCACATCTTGCCTCAGAAGGGGCTCAAGCTGTGGACACTTTGGGGCGCCATGGGGCAGAGCTATTCCTTGTCGACGTCCTGTTGCGCATCACGGGAACGGTTGAACTCGGACTTCAAGGCAGCCTGAGTTTGCATTATGTTACATTGGAAAATTGTGGTTTAGGTTTACCTTGCCAGGCTCGCGGCGCGAGCCCTCTGCGGAATCTGGATTCGCACTGGCCTTTGTGTAAATTTGTATCTTGATCATCTTGCGCTTGTGCCGCCATAAGACTCCCAAGGAAACTTTCCCCAACCAAGTCCAGCACCTGCAAAAGCAGAGATGAGTGGGCAGTTGCCCCAGCCGCACTGCGTTTGTTCTGATTGTTGCTGGCCAGTTTTGGGGGAAATCGTAGCAAGAGCCTAAGCTTCGAGCAGCAGGAGCTGGCAACTGAGGCGGATGATGTCGAAGCTGGGTCGCCTTCGTACTTCGGCTCCCATTTGGGCCCCTTTTCTCCTCTCCTTTCTGACGCTTAAGGAGTCTGTTTTTGTGCAGGCTGAATGTGGAGATGGCCCCAGAGAGTGAAGGCCACATGGCCATGGCCCCGGGCATCTGTAAGAACGTGCTAATTTCACAATATTTGATCTCCACCACTCGCAAACGAGCCCAGGCTCCTGAACCCGCACAGATGGAGCCATCTGGAGGAAGTTGGGGGGGGTGGGGGGGGTGGGGGGAAGGCACCTTACTGAAGCATCTCAGGGCTTGCCTCCCAAGCTTGCAGGATGTGGAGCCGAGGAGTGCCAGAGGCACCCGGAGTGTGGGGGGGGGGGGGGGGGGGTCAATCGGGGTGTTGAGCTTGAGCTGATGTTGCATCACCCCCGCCAGGTCCCAACGCAGGCGACTGGTGACCTTTCAAGCTGGTGGTGAGTCGCCTATGCCAGAAACTTTGCCAGAAATACAAGCCGCCCAGACCTTGATGGAATCTCTGCTTGGCGTCAAGGCCGTCCGCATCAACCACTCCTCGTTTTCCAGCCGCTCCACCGCGCATATTGCGGCGACATCCACTTCGAAGCCTCCCCAGCAATTCCTCCGCTTGCCGAGGAGTCAACGCACCAAGACAGCATGCACTCGGACGAAGGTGCTGTCCAAAGAGAAAAGCTGGGGGGCTTGTAGATGCATATGATGCATGTAATGCATATGCAGCAGCTGATGCCTTTCAAAATGTAGCCTTTGCGGGCCTCGGAGGCCCTCTGCGTCTTCGAGGGATGTTCGAGAGCAGCCAGGTCAGCCAGGTGCCTCACATATTGCCCACGCATCGGGTGCTGCTCATGTACGGCTGTTGCGAACATGTGCAGGATCCGGACGGACAGTGTCGATACCAGACAAAGTCCGAGCCACCTTGCAGGCTCACTTGCCGAACTTTGCCGTGTTCAATATCTAACTCCCATTTCGTGAGAGCGTGCGGTTGTTGGTGTTCTTGACTCGTCCTGAGCGAAAGATTTTCAGATCGATTTACTTGCTCAACGCTGGGCCAGCCATTGGGGGCAGTGCATCTCCGGACGTCGACTTGCGAAATCCCATGACGGGGCTACTTCACCACGCGAGTTGCGTTTGGGGTGCGTGGGAATGTCTTGGTTGCTTTTGGGGTGTGTGGGCTGTGGTTTTTCGCAGTCTTTTTCTGTTTTTTTTGTCGCTCTGGACTCAACCCTCGATGCCACCATCCAAAACAGAAAACCCGGAACTTTGAGTTGGCTAGGCCTAAACTCGGAACCTGAGACGGAAAGTCGCAGTGGCAGTTCCAAACGCAAAGCTGAAGCTATGTGAAACCTGCAAGAAGCCGTATCCTGAGCAACAGACGCTGGGCTTGTGTAATTCGTAGGGGCCTCCTGCTACCTGCCTGGAACTCAGGCCCTGACAAACATTCTAGACCCCTCATCCCTGCTCAAATCCACTCCGCTTAAACACACCTAACCCCTTCCCCGGAACTCTTCGAACTTGTAGAACACACTTACCCCCTCCCCGTAGAATGTAGAACTTGTCAGAACTCTGAGAACTTCGAGAACTTTTGAAAGTTTAACACGTATGAACTTTTCAAATATTCAGAACTTGAACTTTTGGAAGTGTGAGAAGTTGAAGACGCTCTGAGATCCTGATACGGCTGAAACTTTTAGAGCTTGTCATGCTTTTGGAACTTCTCGAAATTTTAAAAGTTGTAGAACTTCTATTTTAGAACCTTTAGACTTTTAGAACTCTTAAAACTTTCAGAACCGTTAAACTTGTAGATGGGAGCAGATCTTGACTGGAGTGAATTTCCTGTGAGAACCCGTGAAACGTAGGGTTTCTAGGCTTAAAATCCCACGCGCCCCAAATGCAACCAAGACATTCCTACGCAGCCCAAACGCAACCACCCCACTTCACCATCCTCAGCACATGGACCTTGTGTATAGGGCTGACAGAGCAGGGTGCCATGGTCCATGCGCAGATGCTTTGGGTCAATTGGGGCGTTTCGGGCTACTTCCAGCAGACTGTCCCCGCTCAAGAAGACATGGCGCCAGGAATACATACCCATCAGCAGCATGTGAATGATCAGCTATTGCGAGCCCAGTGAGTAAAGAACAAGCGTCGAAGAACATGCTCTTGCCCGCGCTACTTGCAATAGGTTCCTTTCACAGGACAGTACGCTCAGTCTACCCGCTCGTACTCTCCCACAATCCTGCAGCTTCTACACGCGCTGCTGGAGGGTTCAGGCATGTTTGCAGCTGGGTGGGGAAGAAGAGCCTTGACTTGCAAGCACAGCTTGGACACTTCAAAGGCTGGTCGGGAGTCTTCTGGGGGGTCTCTCACGGGGTCCTTGGTGGCTGAGCCCAGAAAGCCACAGATGAGATTGGAGATTGCCGGAAAGATGATGGGCATGATCAAGAGCAAAGTCAGAGGGGACTTCAGCTTCTTGTTTCAGCGCGCCCTTTGAGCCGAAGAGGCCAACTTAAGGCCAAAGTGATGCAAAAGAGTAGAGGGTAGATCGGGGATCGGAGATCTGATTGTTCTGAACTTGCCACTGCGCAACCGCTACAACTGGTTCCACTTGAGTACAGACTTTTCTCAGCCTTCCAAGAGGCCCATGACGGTCACGTGCGAGAGCGCAGGCTCCCTCATCGCCGTGATGAGAACATCATGGTCTGCAGGCGCAGATGAGCCTGTCAAGTATAGATGCGGGTTGTGTCGGGTTGGAGTGGACGACGGGTTTCTGCTCATCTGGTCAGCTCCATCTTTTTTCACATGGACCATGTTGAACAGGCATGGCTGCTGTCGAGCATATCGCCCAGACGGAGTGGCAAAGATTGACAGGCAAGCTGCACACAGAACAAGTTCCATCTTGAGACATTGTTGCTGCCTTGCAAGGTTCAGCAGAGTAACATCAGGGTTGCTGGGATCATGGGCTTTTTCTGTCCGTAGATCTTGACTTGGCTCATTGTGGAAAGCCTTGTGCCAGGTTGGTGCAAATCATTCGCCGGGAAGCTGGCTTGCACTTGTCTGCCATATGTGACATGTGCTGAGTGTGCACGTGGGAATTGCGCCCGTGCTGCGAACTAAGGAACGGCAAACACACAAAAGAGTGCTTGATTTCCTTGCAGAACACGGCTTCAAAGGCCAGGGACTGGTGTAAGTGTCCGTCTCTGTCTTTGTGTGTGTGTGTGTTGTCGCTGGACGTGGCTGCATGTCGCTGCGTGTTCGCCCGTGCAAGGTGTGAACGACTCGCGCCGTCCATCCCTAGGCCAGAAATGGCTTGCGAATGCTGCTGAGCATGGGTTGGCGGATGTTGGCAATTGCAGCCTGCTCCATTCAAACCCGGACATGAAGAAGACAATGATCGATTTTGACATGGGTTGTGCAGGCTGCCCTCGCTGGTTTCCACTACATGCGGCCGTCAGTCGATCCGATGCAGAGATGGCTCGGTCCCAAACGCCTCTTCTGCTTCTTCTGCTAACCTGGTGAGATCTCCGGCATCAGAGGTCAGGATGCTGCTGCACATGGGAGCCGACTCCTCCAGGCCTGTTGCCCAACGGGGCCCCACGTGTGGGGGAATCTCTGCTTCTGGCGCACGACGTGCACGAATGTGCACGAAGGAGGAACGGCAACGGGCTCACAGCGGGCGAGCTGGCCTTGCGACTGCGCCCAAGAGACCTCGGAAACCACATGTGACTCTGGACCGACTGCCCTGCGGAGGTCAGACTAAGACGGGCCACAGGTGCGCTTTCGATGTGCTTGCAGCATCGGCCCTGGTGCGAGACACTCATGTTGTACATGACGGCACAAGACGTAGAAGACTACTTGACATTGGCGGATGAAGCAACTTCCCTGTTGGATCTAGGGTCTTGGTTGAGTGGTGGGAGGTTCTCGTTCATCAGTGATTCATCAGGCATCCTCCGAGCTTCTGATTAGTCCCTTACTAGACTAAACGAAGTAGACCCCCCCCTCCCCCGCCCCAAAAAAACAAACCAAAAAGAACACACACACACACACAAAGAATGGGCTGGGCTTGGGGAGCATTTTTTTCCCGCTTCTCTTCTCCTGTACTCCTGTTCCTCTCTTCCTCTTCTCCTATTGTCATATTCTTCTCTTCTCCTCTTGCCGGAACAAAACAGTTGAATCGTTGAAGCGGGGAGGAGAGTGCAGGCCAGGTCTAGCGGCAGATCGCCAGCAGCTCTCCAGTCGTGTGCAGCCAACAAGTGGGCTCACGTCGTTTTCGGTAAGAAAGGTAGTGAAGAACAAAGGAAGAATGGGAAAAGACCATGCTGTGATCAGATCTCTTTTCAAAGGGGAGTTTGCTTCCTAACAAGCTACTTGAAGGCAGACACCGTTCATTTTCCTTGCTTCCCACAGGCAGGCAAAACAAAGTTACAAGCAACCACTCTTCCGGTCCACATGCCCACGGGGTTGGCGAGGGGGCAAGCCCGCATACAGTCAGGGTGCTCGTGGTTGTAGGCACCGAAGGAAAATCTGCCACGTCATGCTGTCGAGTCCAGCAGCCAGAACATGCAGCAGTGTTGCCTTCGCGCCGCGTGATCTTCCGGTCGAGCTGGCCTTCGCCGTCGCCGTTCATGTCTCTGATCCACCTTTGACATGCATCAGCGACACAATGTCTCTAAGACGCATGACTTTTCCACGAATTTGGTGCATGGCAGCATCGAATTTGACCGGCCACAGGACAATGTGTAAAATCGCCCGACTCGCTGCAAACAAGAGCCCAGCTTCGGCAACTGAAAGCGTTTTAGCTGGTCAGGGAATGGCTGTGGATGAAGTTAAGCACGACCGGGCCGTGACCCTTCGTCTTCCACAGCTGGTCATACGTGCCCGATCACGGAGACCTGAATTTCCATGGCTCTTCAGCATGACGTGATTTCGGGCGGATGGGGGCGATGAGCAAATGGTCGGGCCATCATGTGCCGATCAAACTCCCGCTGAACGCAGAGCACCCATACAGAGCCAGCAAATGAAGCAACAAAGCATCAAGTCAACACATACAATGACATACAAGTAAGTGTGTGGCTTCTGTTGCACGTGTTGTAGTTGTGGTGGTGCACCATGGGGACTGAGGAGGAGGGGGGGGGGCATTTTGTACTCCAATATATCTACCTATATGGTCTCGGGCTCCGGGGCCCAAAACCTCCCCCCCCAGGGTATCCTCCCCCCCCCCCCCCAATGGTATGCCCCCCTCCCCCTCCACCTAAACCTTAAACCCTTACCCCTAACCCCTCAACCACACCACAGGGGAAGGGGGCGCGGACCTTAAACCCCAAACCCGAACTCCCCCAACCACGCCCGAATTAAACCTTAAACCCTAACCCCCCAACCACACCCACACCACGGCAAAGGGGGTATTAAACCTTAAACCCTGAAGCCCCAACCACACCCACACCACATGGGGGGCGCGGGGTTTTTAAACCTTAAACCCTGAAGCCCCAACCCCACCCACACCACAGGGGGGGGTATGAAACCTTAAACCCTCACCCCCCAACCACACCCACACCAACACCACAGGAGGGGCCCGGGGTTATTAAACCTTAAACCCTGAACCCAAAACAAACCCACACCACAGGGGGGGCGCGGGGGTGGGCCCTAACCCTTAAACCTTAACCCCTCACCCCCAACAACACCCTACATCGCAGGGGGAGGGGGGGGTGGGGGTAGGGATACAAGGGAGGGGGGGGATACTGTGCCATGGGGGGGGGGGGGGGGGGTGGGCGTGGCAGCCCTGGACCATATATATATATATATACACATATATCTCTCTCTCTGCATATATATATACACATATATATGTATATATGTACATATATATATACACATAAATAAATAAATATGTAAATATAAATAAATAAATATAAATAAAAATATATATATATATATATATGTATATGTATATATGTATATATGCTACCCCCCCCCCCAGCGACCTACCCTTTTTAGGCCTTTTTAGGCCTTTTTAACAAAAAATGACAAAGAAGGCCCAAAAGTCGCGTAGTTAATCACCGGGTAATGAAGGATAGTTACTGGGACACCCACCTCACAGACCCCGATAAGCCAGCATTGGAAGAATCTACATTTTGAATCTGAAGCGGACAATGCTGTTTTTAGATGTTTAGCTCAGTGTTTTTCTATGCAAATTGTGCGTTTCAAGGGCAATTAATGTTTTGTTGAGCAACTAATTTATTTATACAATTGTGTTTGTACAAGGCAAAGTATTAATCAAATAGTGAAACATTTTTCTTGGTTCTATGCGAATTTAGCTACTAGAGTAATTATTAAGCAAAGAGCCCAATTTGACTCACGTGAATACTATTTAAAGGAGCATACTCAACCAAGATACGAAATAAACACCATTCTCAACCAAAAAATGGCAAAGTGTGCGTTTAAAGTGCAAATACTGTATTTATACAATTGTGTTTGTACTAGGCAAAGTATGCTCTCTGAAAAGTCCACTGAAATACCTTATGTTTACATATTCATGAATCGTTTTTATTTTTGAAATAATCATTTTATGCGAATTTAGCTACTAGAGTAATTATTAAGCAAATAGCCCAATTTGACTCAAGTGAATACCATTTAAAGGACCATACTCAACCAAAATACGAAAGAAGTACCCTATTCAACCAAAATATGGCAAAGTGTGGTTTAAACGGCAAATAGTGCTTTGTTGAGCAACTAATGCATTGAAACAGTTGTGTTTATACCAGGCAAAGTATTATTGAAGTACTATCTGCAAAGTCAAATGAAACACCTTATGTTTACATATTCATGAAACATTTTTTTGAAGTATTCATTCTATGTGAATTTAACTACAAGAGGAATTCTTAAGCAAATAGCCCAATTTGACTCAAGTGAATACTGTTTAAAGGACCATACTCAACCAAATATGAAATAAACACTTGCGGAAATGGAAACGGTTCTACCTACATAACAATGAGACAAAGATTGCTGAAGTATTCACGAAAGACCACTTATATACTATGTCTGAAAAAGCACAATTTGCATGAGCAAGCTTAAAAATGCACAATAATGGAAATAGAAGCGGCTCTACCTACATAACGATGAAACAAAGATGTCTGAAGTATTCAATAAAGACCACATATATACTATGCTTGAAAAACGCAACTTGCACAATCAGGCTTAAAAAATGCACAAGAATCCTAGAAAAGTACTTAGTGAAGGCCATACACAAGCAAATTCACAAATACATAAAAACATCCAAAAGCGCCAGGAGAATCTCTGGTAAAGTTTGGATTATAGGGTTTTTGGGTATTCCTGGACGAGTAGGAGTCACTTTTTAAGCAAACAATTCTAAGCAATAAATGCTTTTTCTCAAGACAAGTATTGCAAATGCTGCTTCTAGATAATTAATCGCATTTACCAGGCAAATATTATCCATGCGAATTGAGCTACCAGAGCACCAAGTAATGGCTGAATAAGGTCTACTACACTTGAGTACAACCAAAGGATGCACTAAACACTAGCGGCTCTGCTTACATAATAACGAAACAAGTAGTTCTGAAGCACTAGAAAGACCACTTGTATACTATTTCTGAAAAGCACAATTAGCATAAGCACACTTAAAAATGCGTAGTTGTTGCCTCGTGACCGTGAAGGTGAACCAAAAAGCCAAAAAACCAAAAATACCAAAACCAAAAAAACCAAAAATACCAAAACCAAAAAAACCAAAAAAACCAAAACCAAAAAAACCAAAAATACCAAAAAAACCAATTTTCCGGGACTCTTGGAGAAGCCTCATAGGGATTTCCTGAGAGTCCCGGAAAATTGTTTTTTTTGGTGTTTTTGGTTTTTTTGGTTTTGGTTTTTTTGGTTTTTTTGGTTTTGTTATTTTTGGTTTTTCTACTGTCCCGTGTATGCGATTTTAGTTGTATTTTAGTCTACGCCCTAGGAAATACGCTATATTGCACACCGAGTTTTGCTTGCAGTGCAGCTGGGTGACTTGAGACAAGACGAAAAAGGGTAGGTCACTGGGGGGGGGGGGTACCGTATATATATATATATATATATATCATCATCATCATCGTCGTCGTCATCATCATCATAAATAGTAGCGATACGCAACTGGTAACAAACAATCGTCCTCTTGCCGGTCTTAGGCGCTGGAAGCTCACGAGTCGCGCATCGGCCGAGTCCGCGAGGGCATGTGCTCTGCCCCGGCCTGGGAAAGACGTGTTGTAAATACGTGTAAACTAGACTTGAGGACTTGAGCTGTGGACTTGCCTCGTGCAGATATTCCTCCATTAGACTGGGCATGACAGGTTTCATGTTCAGTGAGAAAGAGGTGCAGATAGCCAACAGTGCGGCACAGTGCACTTCTTGCTGCAGGTTGCTGATCTCGCCGCAGAGCGCTGAGAAAGAACGGTGACAGCCCCAGAGAAAAGAACAAGCGACAGTGGACACGCTACTGATCAACAGGAAAAAGTCCAGAAGACAGGAAACCCACGCAACATGTTCACTGATTCACTTGCCCCCACTCTATTCCGGAGGCTTGTCCTTGAGGTCGGCTTAGTACCAGCAATTCGCCGTCAAGACGGCATGCGAAGATGGCGGCTACAAGGGGCGGGTCAGACGGGTGCAGGTAATGGCAGCATGCGCAGTGGCCCGGGCTTTGCATTCGACATCGTGCTTTTCCGTGTTGTCGGTTCTTTAAAACGCGCCTCAGGTGCCAACGACTTGCTGCGGCCAGTTTTGCTTCGGCCGTCGACTGAGAATGGCTTGTGAACTTCTTCGGGCATTGAGTGTTCGCTTGCACAAGGACTGATCCTCACGGATCTGGACTTTCTGAATCTAAAGGAATGCTTCCTTTTCACGTATGAAGATAGTGCAAGATCAAGTGTTTTGAGCGTGAAGTTCAGGGATCTGGGAGTAACAAGATCGGTGAGGTGGGTAAGGACGCATCTAGATTATCTCCATCCTTGTGGACAGACTCAGTACATTTGGCGACTACTGACAAATCACGATCATGACCCACTACAATATCATTCCCAAATCACCAAACCTTTTTTTCATTCCAATGGTTGCAGGCAATTCACAAAAATAGAGTAACATGGAGAGATGTTGCACACGTAGCATGTTCTCGAAGTCTTACACATCTTACGGGGTATGGGCACTCAACTGGATTGCATTAGAGTACAGTGTTACATCAATTCCCCCTTTGCCTTGTGATGCACATGGCAAGCTCGTCTTGGGTCGAGTGATCTAGCCAGCTTCTCACCTTTTACAACTTGCAACAAAACCGCTGCTGTGGGTGGGGATGCTACAACCATCTCTTGGTTTCGCGATAAAGGATGCTGGCACCCAAGCTTAGTCAAAGGCCTCATCCAATTCCATCTCACCTGGGACACTTACATGGGGTGAAGTTCCCCTGTTTTGCCATGCGATGTGCCAGATGCCCGAGGACGCCGCAAAGTGCAAAGGAGAGTATTGCGTATGTGCGCACACACACACGCTGCCTTTCGCCTGCTGAGAAATCATTCGTACCCAACTTGTCGACCAAGCTTGTCCCTGGCAATCTCCATCTAGATTCTTGTGCCTAGAGCTCTGTGTCAAGACAGTCGGAAAGAAGCTCAAAACACGTGCCTGCTTCATGAGAATTCACACTGAGAAGCTTACCGACAATCGCCTGATTTGGTGGTAGCTTTTTAACTATGCACTGCCAGCAGGCCTTCGGTAAGAGCATGACCTCTCATGCTGCCTTGGAAAACTTTCAACCTTCTGGAAGCTGTGGAAGCCGCAAATGCGGTCCCCCATGGCTCTCCAAAGCACGATTTGCTGAGAGATGCTGTCAGTCCAGGGGCTGTTTTCACGCATCGCCAGCCATCCAGCAAAACAAAAAGGAGAGAGCATATGCTCTCTAGGGAAGGGGTCGCTCACGCTTTGCTCAGGGTCATGTACAAAGCCTTGCATGACAACTGTGCGGTTTGCGAAACCTTCCGACACTGGTCCTTCCATCTTCAGCGCTGACCCAGTGCTTGCTGATGGGGCTCGACTGTTTGATTGAGGCATGTCAACGCGACCCCACAGAAAACAGAAAGTGAGGGTTGCCTTGATCGCTGCAAATTCAATTTTACCTTCTTACGAGGCTCATGAGGCTCACAATTTCAGTTCTCCTGGTCTGATGGCAGAATCACGGTAGAGTAGCAATTGTCTTTTCATGTGAGCCTCGACTTCACTGTCCGTACAGCTCAGCTGCAGGCCCGTAGGCGCAGGCCATGGACACTGCCTAGCTGCAAGTGCATGAATTAATTTGTTCTCGAAGATGACGGCTCACTTTGCGGTGCTTGACTCAGCTCAGGTCTCTTTGCTGCTCCAGTAGAGATCACTCCAGTACAGAGTCAGACCCTCCGCTTCAGAAGTTCATTCAAGCCTGGCTTCGCCGAGGCAGCTTGTGCTTAGGGTGCCCCACGAGAAGATTTGCGGCTGGGGGCTGCGTGCTCTGGCTGAGCCACAAAAAAGGTGTTGTGTGTGGGAACGGTTGGAACCGTTCGTTTGAAGGCAACATGCAATGGGTGAATGCTCCGGGGTGAAGGGAACGGAGCCTCACGGCCTTGCCCGAAAGGCTTTGGGAGACGCCAGGGGGATAATACGAAGCGAAGTTGGACGAATAAGCAAATAATGAATGGAAGTTGCCACTGACAGTAGCTCAATTTCAAGACAAGAAGGCCTGCGTCCCCACACCTCGTGCTTGTACAAGGCTACAAATCGCAGCTCGCAATGCAGCAGACACTTGATGCATTGACCGCGAACGATTTGCGCAGTGGCCTTTTGACCAACTTTTGAAGGGGGCATCGCACTGGCGTCACGCATGGCACTACCATGCATCTTGCTGGTTGGCAATGCGCTTCTTGGTGCCGCTGCTACAATGGCTTGTGCTGGTACGATCTGTGCAGCGCAAAGCGCCCACGACCATGGAAGAGAAATGTACTTTCCAGCGGCTGGGCTCAGTAGCTCAATGCATCGGCTTGCTGTGCGGACCTGCACAACCTGAAGCCACGTGGTGTTGTGATATGTACCAAAAGTATCGCCAACGAGCATTTAGTTCCGTTCCTCCTGTTGAGAAAAGGCCGACAGCGGGAGAAAACAGCGTAGAACCTGATGTCTCGAGCTTCTGCACGCCTGGCCAGTTCGCTCCACTCCGCTGCGCAAGCGGCCAGGCATGGGAGCCTGGGAGCATCTGGGTAAAGCAGACTTGGGGACTTCGGGCAGATCAGTTCAGTTCAGTGCATGATGCATGCTTACGTCGCGGCAATGGGGTGGCGATTGCTTGTGCAAGTGGGCAAAACATGACTGGCCTCTTTGCTCCCTGCTCTGTGTCTGCCAGTTCGCACGCAGCGTCGCAGGAGCTGAGAGCTGAACTGTGGGTTCGGCAGGAAGTTGGCAGTTGTTCACGGAGTTCCAGCGGCAATTAGGTTGAGACATCCGTTTGCTCAGGGAACCTGTGAGATTTGTACCCGTCCGCATCGTTAGGTGCACGATGACACAGTGATGTGGCCGAAAGCCGTTGTTGACCCTCATGTCTTGCAGGAATCTGTAGACCGAGCCATAAATCGCAAAGCTAAGCCAGCCACAAACGCAAGCCGGTCTGCACCCCCCCCCTCCCGCCTGTATCTACAGTATCTTTTCAGGTGCAGCCGGTCAGGCTGTAGAAGACCACAACATGTTTTGTACAAGTGGGTCTTTGTGTCTGCAATCTCGACACGCGGTTGCACGCAGGACCCGCCAGCTGGGCAAACGCCGGGCCTGGGCGTGCCTGGGATCGGATACCTTTGGCTTGCCATCAGCTTGCTAAGTAGTTCTGTGAGAGACCGTGCTTGCCATCAGCATGCGAAAAGCCTAAGCACGAGTCATAAGAGTAACAAGAGTCAGAATCAACGGAAGCAACCGGGCTCGCTGCTCAAATGTTTCGCCAGAACATGGTGGGAAGGTGCCTCCGTTGCAACAAACCGGCTCGCTACAAGGACTCTGTTCATGCAGCCTGACTCGGTGCCACAATTATGTGAGGCCACTAATTCGCAGAATTCGTCAGGGCTACCGCTACCGAGTACTTCCGGAGTGCACGGGCCCGGGTCTTACTTCCACCAGCTTGCCGCCGCATTGGCAGCTGACTCAGGGCCTTGCATGAAGCACGCTTGTCATAGTCAGCCTCATGTCGTTTATCAGGTACCTGGAAGCAGCACTTTCCAGGCCAGAGCACTGCGAAAATAAGTGGGACATGATGTGCGATGACGTGCGCAGAGGCATCCTCCATTGCTTGGGACCTCGGGCTACCCCGCAGCACCCTGCCCAGATACAGACCACAGCTTTTCTCGACTGCTTGGTGTGTTCTGTGTCAGATGTCAGTGGAGTTCGCGCAAGCTGAGGGGGTCTCACCGGCTTCGTTCCCCTGGGGGCAGGCACGTGTGGTGAAGGGCAGAGGGGAGGCCTCTTCCAGAAGTGTTCAGGTGCCAATGCCGCTGCTCCCTTCTCACTCTCACCTTCCTGCCATGAGCCTACTCGGGCCTCTTCGTGTGTCACGTAAGTGTCACGTAAGCGCATGCAATCACATCGCATGGCGTTGCATGGCATTGTGACTTGGAGCACGCGGAATTGCGAGCTCCGAGGCTGGTTTGCCACCAGAGGTCGAAAACCCAGAGATGCAATTGTTCGGACCAAGGGCTCGTCTCAGTTTCTTAGGACGTGCTGCGTAGAGGGGCACGCCAGAAAGCAGAAAACTGAGTCTAGAGTTGAGAGTTTAGCCGAAGCTAGGTGACAGCCACCTTAGCCAGCCGCACTCCAGAACGAGGCCTTTCGACAGTTTTCTTGTGCTCACATGACAAACTTCGCGCTGGTGTGCTGCAGGAGCTGTCGGCAGTAGACTACCATCGCAGGGCGCTTGAGCACTGAGTGGTCCCAATGGCCCCAAAAACATCAAAAGGTTGTTGCTTTGCAAGGTCCACCGCTGCCCCTTGTGGCCCCTGCGCCTGCGCTACGTCGCCTGAGTTGGAGGGCTCAGGGGCTGTTGCCGCGCATATTGTTTGCATGGACTTGCAGTTCTTGCAGCTGGTAGGCCAAAGGCAACGGCACGAGCCACCGCCTCAGCCGAGCATCGGGTGCCAGACGCGCGCTCCCACAATCTGCGGCATTGAGGTTCCTGTGCGTCCTGAAGGTGGAAAAGGCATCTGATGTCGAAGAGATGTGCCGCCAGTCATTGTGGGGTCTCGTCAGCGCCGCTTCGAGGTGCCACTGCAGCCAGAGTGGAGCATTCCTGGCCTGTGTTAACGTGTTAATAGCAGACCGTCTCGATGCTTCTCAACGTAGAGCCTCAGCTTGTCGGCCTTCCTCCTGTCTTCCAGGCCAGAAGCCGAGAGAAAGCCTAGGCCACTTCCCAAGCTACCCGAAGCTTTTCCAAGCTTGATGAGAGATGACTGTTTCACATTGTTTTTTTGCACGCTTTTGCATGCTTTTGCATGGTTGTACATGGTCTTGCAGTGTTTGACATGGTTTGATATGGTTTTCAGTCTTTGAAGGAGCGCGTTCAAGCTCTCACAGCTGGAGGACCTCTTAATCAGACCTCTCCCGGGGATTTTCTGAGCTTTGCAATTATCTCTCGCTCCATGGTGTTCCCTTGGCTTTCTGTCAGAGGACATGTTCAAAAGCAACGCGTACATCAACAATATCTATTCCATCGCTAAGGATCAGGCCTGACCGTGGGGGTAGGCTTTCATATTGAGAGCTTAGCCACGAAAATGAACATTTGCTACCTCGTACAGCTAGGAAGTGTTACTGGTAGGAATTGAAAGGCAATCTGTCAGCTTTTCCAGGCTGGCTGCAGGATGTTGCAGCACAAGCTCGACGAGGTCGAGCCCGTGGATTCAGTCTGGAACAAACAGTGTGCACTTCGCACGTGGCAAGGGCGGTGCTGACGTGTTCTCGGCGGTCTTCAATGAGGCCTGGAATGTGAGAATCGCCAAATGTGCTCATAAGCTACAGGGTGTGCTGCGCTGTATCCATAGTTCTGTGGGGTGGGCCCCACTTTGCATCTTGTCGATATCCCCTGAATTTTTTGGATCTTTTAAGGCTTTTGCGGCGGAGTCTGCATCCGGCGACACTAAGTTGTGAAGTGGTGAAGTGCATTGTTGAGTTGATGCTTGGCGTACTTTGCTCTCTGAGCTTTCTGGCATTTGTTGAGAGAACCCTCTGCTGGCGTGTGCTTCTTTTTCTTCTCATTTTTCTTGTGAAGTTCTAGACAGTTCTAGACGATGTTTTGCTCCTGACTCAGCTTTGGGCCTGTTGAAGCAATCGTGATCTGGTGCGTTTGTTTCTTCTGCTAAGTTTGGAACCTGACTGAGGTTGTGGCATATGCAGTTGAGCTCATGATGGATCCTTTTGGGCCACTTGGCTCTGAGAGCTTCCTTGGTGTGCAGCCCATGGCAGCCCGTGACGTCTGAGGAACTACCTGTGCCAGAAGCTGATGGAGATGTCTACTGCCAGGCAGCTAGAGGCACTGCTCCGTGTGGGCATTGTGGGGATACGGTTTACCGAAGGCTTATCGCATCCTTTCGTGAGGTCTTACTTGAGGCGACCTATAGCAGCCTTGTGAACATCTCCTTGAACATGCACGGCGCCAGAGCGGTACAGGACAGCTTACGGAGAAAGCCAACCCCCCCCCCCCCCCTCTGTCACCCATGGACCCATGGCTTTTCTAGCCTTCTTGCATCTGCGCCAGAAGCTGATCGATGTGGTCCGGATGGTGCCCGTTTGCATGGGCCGGCTCGTGGTGCCCTGCTCGTGTCTTCCTTGCAAGCCGAGAAAGAATGGCTTCACATCTTGCTGTGCCAGGCGGGCCTCGAGTATGCCGTAGTCACGCTCGCAAAGGCAGGGCCATTCAGCTCTCTCGTGTTTAAGGCACGATTTCGACGCAGGGAACAGGACTATGACCAACACAGTGCTGATGAGTTTTGCCAGAGGGATTGTCATGTGAGAACATTCAGCGGCGTTCTCACGCTTGTGTGCAGGGGGAGCTTCTAGAGCTCATGGGTTTATCAGACGGTCCAACTCCAGAGCTCAGAGCCAGCATTGTAGGAGATGCACCTGCATCTACATAACCATATCCAGCGGCTTTGGTCATGACGAGAAGGGACACATGGGCCCCTTGAGTGTTGATACGTTATGAGGAAGCCCTGGCCGCCAGGACCCAAACGGGAACCACGTGGTACAAAGATGCCTCGAGGTTCGGATCTCAGGGCGTGCTTGGATGTGCTTGGCTTGTACAGGTCCTGTACTTAAGTGCTACCGAGTCACTCCCGAGCGATGCCCACGGCTTCATCTTCAGGCCCACTGTTTTGGGGCTTGGTGCCTGAAGCATCTGCGGCAGATTGTTACTAAGCGTCCAGGGCGGTGGCCAAAGACATCGAAGATGTGGCTTCACACCGGCATGGATGCAGGACCAAGCAATTCAGCTGTCCCCTTCTCCCTCGGGGCAACACATGGATTCAGAGTTGCGCCGTCCAATGCAGGATTGTCCAACGGTGCATCGATGCCGCAAAGGGCCCTGAGCGAAAGATGATGATAGGCACGACGTCCTCAATGACAAGAAGCATGGTCCATAGTAGTAACGGCAGTAAGAATACACCAAGTTGGCCCCATCACCCCGAAATCCGTGTCTCAGCATGTCCATGGGCGCACATTGGCCAGAGAATGCATGCCCGAACGATGATCACGTTCGTGCCACCAGTGCATCCATTCGCGCAAGAGAACCCATGCTCTGAACGATGATTCCGAACCGAGCTTCATGCTTCTGCCTCACCTTAATCAGCCGAGTCCAGAAGCCCCAGAACCCTGAACCGTAAAAGCTGTGCCAGTCTGAGATTGCAAGTCTTGAGGCTTGAGGGTTGGAGGGGGTGGGGGGGGGGGGGTGGGGGGGGCTGCTGGGAGACTTCGGTCTGAGGTTTCGAGTTTGGAGACTCGAGGGAGGTTCAGGGTTTGGCCCGGCAGAGAGAGAACACAGTCTTGGACAGAAGAGATGCGCAGTTCTTGCCAAGCACCAGGTCAAACTTCGTTTGAAGTAATGGTTGACTTCCAAGGGGCTTTCCAGTATTCCCGACCTTTCAAGTAGCAGCACTTTATTTCGCTATGTGGCAAATGGCCCTTGAACTATTTAGTTGCATGTGCAATAAAACGACCGGATAGTCATCCAAGTAATTGAATTTGCTCACCTCCAACCATATTAAACAAATTAATGGGGCGATGTTCAGTTTGAACTTGGGGGGCGGTAAAAACAAAAGTGTTCTTTTTATAAGTTCTGTTCATGAAAACTCTGACAATGTTTGTTCCGAAAAGCAACAATGATTGCTAAATGTGCATAGCTGGATATCACAAAGGTTGAAAGTCATGAAACACCGAAGGCTCATCAACCCTAGTTCCGCGCAACAATGAGAATCGGGGGCTAGTTTGTTGTTTCGTATCTACAGGCGTCGTTATATGCATTGCAACAACATCAAATGGCCCATGGTGCTTAGATTAAAGCATGCATAAGCATCACTTCTAGAAGTCCACTCTTCATGCTTGCACTAGTTAAGCTAGTGGATGATACTAAACGTGGCCAAGCAGTATTGGCAGAGAATGAAGCACGGGGTATTGGGACAAGCCTACAGAGCGGGACAAGTAATTGTCGTGGCTTTAGCAGTGCAACGAATATACGTAGCCCTAGCTACAATACACAAAGCTAACATCCGATTATTAGAGTTCTTCAGTGAATACAGCTGGCCTCGCCCGAATTGAACAAAAGCCTAGCCGCAATGATCATGTCAAATTGTTGGCGCACCTACGTGTTTTTGTTTCTTGCGGCCAGACCGTTAGATACCATCCCGCAGGTGCCATATGCCAGGCTTCCCTGGCCCTGATTCAGGCAGGAACTCTTCATGCGATCGCGACTTGAAATGTTGCTGCTTTGTTTCTCACCCCCCTCACCTACCCCCAAAGCCCGAAACCTAAGCCAGGATCCCTTTGGCAACTATGTCGTGCAGTACGTGCTCGGCCTGCAGGATCCGCAGGTGTGCCGGGACTTGCGGCAGGAAGCATAGCCCTAGTGGGGCCCTAGTATTCCTCGTAACAAGCAAGGACACAAGCAAAGACAACGACTGAACGCCCACATACTAGTAGCACGTACGACTAACACAGTCGCAAGCAACAGATACGGTCATGAACGACAAGAGTACCAATAGATGCCGAGAATGTCAGCAGCAATGAACAATTAATGATATTGTTTCTGTAAACACTGTCTTCGTCGCGATGATTGTTATCGTTGTTATTGCTGTCATGTGTTTATCACGTCAGTATTGTTTTCAGTACTACTATTGTTTCTATGACTGTTATTCTTGTGTGATTGTGAATAGTGCTTGGTTGTTAGTCGTGCTGTTATTGCTGTTCTTGTTATTCTTATAACCGTTTTGGTTGTCATTCGTGTTACTATCGTTTTCACTGTCACTATTCTTATTACTACTATCATATTGTGGTCGTCGTCTTCGTCGTTGCTGTTGTGCTTATTCTTGTTGTTATTCTTTTCTTGTCGTTGTTCTTATCATTGGTGTTGTTGGATATTGCTGTTGCTGTCGCCGTTCTCCTTGTATTGCTTTTATTGTTGCTGCTATTGCTGTTTTTGTATTGCTCTTTCTTGTAGTTTAGTGGAGTTGGCAGTGTTTTTCGCACATATGTACATATATAAATAAATATATAAATAAATATAAACATATGTATATATATATATATATATGTGTGTGTGTATCATAGACATGCATCTGCGTTGGAAACCTGTCCTGCTGTTTTGGTTGCAGGCCAGTTCGCTGATCGTGACCGCCATGATGGGACGATTGAATGCCATAGCCTCGGCGAAAAGAATCAGATCAGGTCAGCAGAGTAGTGCATTTGCAGCTGAACAAATCTTTTTGGCAGGTGCTCTCACGGCAGAAGTTTAGCTCAAACGTGGTTGAACGATGTCTTCAGCTTGCAAGTGACGAGGTGAGGGCAGGAGGTTTTGAATGGTTTTGAACGACATAAGGGCAGCTTTGTCTGCTTTGTGGGAGGACCGAGCCCGCATGATCACGGAGCTCGCCGATCCTCGAGGGTTAGGCCGTGAGCAAGACTGCTAGCGCAGGACACTAGAGTCACTAGGTTCACTAGAGTCACTAGAATTCAGCCTGATCAAGCGCGTGTCGTGATGTGTAGTGTGCACCTTCCAGGTGATGCAAATAAGGGTTGAGCGTGGTAAGCAGTTGACTCTTTGGACAGTAAGGTTGTGAAGAAATTCGAAGACTCGTGCTTTGCGCCAATTGTCTCGATGTTCTGAATGCAGCCTATGCGAGGTGAGCTTCTCCGAGATATCTACGGGAACTATGTTGTCCCAGCCTCCTCTTCTTGTGCATTGCGTAGACTCCCACAAAGCCCGACATCAATGCTCATGGAGGTTTTTGGCTGTGGCCCAAGGTTCAAAGCGCTTTGAACATTGCCGTGGAGCCGCAGATTTCAATTGTGCTAGGCCTCCACAGGGCTTACCTGGTCATTACATGGTCTAGCGACCCGGTGCTTTCCATGCAGCTGAGCAAGACCTGTGTCGATAACCGTCGTGATCTGTCATGGTCATGCTCATTTTGTGGTACCATGTGTATCCCCAAGCCGAAGACTCAGAATGATCCTATTTGCAACCCCCAACCCCCTTTCCCTGCCTCAGCTGCCGTACGACCTTTGCTGCCATCGCTCCGGTCCAGTGGCCAGGGGAGGCCGGGAAAGGATTGAGTTCTTTTGAGTGCTTGATGAGGCAGTCTGCCTTTTTTTGCCAATACCGAGGCGGATCGCGCAGAAGCTGGAGAAGTGTCGCTGACATGTTTAGGTGTCCACCTGTGCTGGACTCTTTGCTATGTTTCTCTACCAGAGGAAGTTCCCACAGCTTCGAGAGCGAGGCCAAAATGGCGAGGTGCGCCCCAAAGAATGATCGGGACTATAGTTATTTTGGTATCCGTCTAGGGACTGATGCCACACTGCATGCCCAGGGGTCGAGCCGTGCGGGAGGCAGGTTCCGAGACGTCCACCATACTCCCCGACCCACGGTGTGCCTCGCTGCCTTTTGCAGAGTGGGGAGAAATGTGCGGAGGCCAGACCTCGTTCCCACAGGCCGCGCAGCTTGACAACACGTCGACAGCTAGGGCAGCTAGGGACCTGTTTCCAAGTTCACTGTCAGGCCGGAGGAGGTGGAGGCTCTGTTGCTTCAGGGAGGCGCGGGTCGGTCTTTGTGCTTCTTTTTTCAACCTGGTGAAGGTGATGCAGTGTCGTGGCCGCCTGCCGCCCAAGGCGGTCTGGACGGATCGCCAGGACTCGAGCCACGAGATACATACAGATACAGTATCCAATAGTGGGGAGTTGATGCCTGGGCTCAGTGTGGCTCTGGCAGGCGCGTACCTGGTGCCTGGTGCTGTTACGCCTGGCATCTTGAATGCGGCCGGGCTAGGTGCCTTGTCGGTCTGTGAAGGGAGCCCCAGCACCGGCTTGAGAGTCTCCGGAACATTCCGGAACATGTAACGCTTGCGGCTGCAGCTTTTGGCTTCATCACGTCATGCGCGTCGCCTATGTGCAGCAACAAGCAGTCATCATAGACTGAGTGTTTGACTGCTTTGAAGCCTTAGACCCCAAAAGTGGAGACATGGAGACCTTCTACACACACGACTCAGAGCAACTCAGAGTACCTGCGTCCACCGAACCAGCCATTTTTTGTGCACGAAGTGTGCAATGCCGGTGACGCCACTCTGACCCGGTTCGGTCTTCTGGAGTCTCAATCGGGGGTTGCGACATGGCTAAGGTCAGGCCGTAGAGGAGCTCTGTTGCCAGGCTGTACTACTACACAGGCTGGGACCAGTGCCAGCTGCACGGCCCTCCTGGCAAGACTTGACTACGAGCACAGGGGGCGCCTCCTCGCAGTCCGTGAAGCGTCCATTGAAAGAGAGAAAAGTGTCAGATACCAGGTTGCTAGACTCGAAATAGCACACAGCCATACTGACTCAATCGTGCCTAATGAAAGCTCGGAGCCTCGAACCTTGAGTTAATTCATCACGTATGTGCCTCATGATATCAGCAGACCTTGTCGGGCAGCAGCAGTGCAAATTTCAGAACAGCCAGAATTTTTCTGGGCGTTTTGTTTTCGCATCTTCGGGCGAGCCCGCAAATATGGCCTTCTTGTGTTTCGTCCGGGAAATCTCCACAGGGGTGGGTGGATACTGATGCTTTGCGCGTGCGTGCGCATGTGTTTCTGCGCAGCTTCCACCGGGGAGTGCCTCAAGTGGGAAACAAGCAACACGTGAATCCTATGGGCCACGGAATTCCCACGTATCACTGCCAACACTCACAGACAGTGGAGGACGAAGGTTTTGGTAAGAGATTTGTGTGCATCCCCCAGCATGTTTGCAAGCCTTCGTGAGATGGAGACAGGGTAGTATAGGGCCCTCGCCAACAATGGCCTGCGCACACTAACAGGATGTCTTCAACAATCCCTGCAGCTCGCGCAAGTGAAGTGCACAAGGCTGACACGCAGAAGCATACAACCGACGTTTTCAAAGCTGGTTCCATGCGCCAACTGTCTCAGACTGTCTCACTCCAAGCGATAAGAGGCCAGAGACTGCATTGAAACACTTGTTCTGTGTCCGGTAATAACCGTGCGAAGCAACTGCTTCCTGTGAAAGTTCATTTGAGGGTAGGTGCTAGCTTCGAATTGTCGGGGACTTCTGCGCCAGGATGTCCCAAAGGAGAGTCCGCTTGGCGAGATATTCCGTTCAAGGCCCGCAGCGACACATGCGATTCAGATCTTGGGGTCTTAGTCGGTCTTAGGAAGCATGCGAGCTGGACTGTATCTTCTGAGAGCCAGGACGTGCCCGGCAAGACGGGAGTCAAGCAGTTGCAGGTCGAAGCTCCTCGGCATTGCCTCACTTCAGTTCAGCAAACTCTGGCAGTCCCTGTTTAGGGTTTAGGGTTTAGGGCTTAGGGTTCCTTTTCTTTCCTTCGTCGAGATCAGCTGACACTCCTCTGCACCCTGCCTTTTTTGAGGCAGCGGGGTTAGAGTTTGTCGTCTGCGACATGAAAAAGCAAAGCTGGGACAATCCGCCCGACTGGTACGGCAAGAAGAACTACCTGATCACTGAAACTCGTCGAGCTCGAGTAGAAGTTTCGGGTTTCGGCAACTTCGATGTTTCGCAGCGAAGAGAGGTCGCGTATTCCGTGTGTCTTGTCAGTTTGCAAGTCTCCGAGATTAGCGAACCCAAGGAACCTGGCGACTACTCCTTGAGGCATGGTCACTTGAGGAGGACTGGAGTTCAGTGCGGAGATATCCAGCGGCTGTGCAGCAATTGCACAGCGGTCGCCGGAGGCTTCGCGATAGCAAGGTGCTGGTGGTGACAGACTTGGCCCAGACCCAAAGACAAGAGTGTATCGTGTCGTTCGGAAAGCCTTGCGCGAGATGTCCAGAGTCTTGAGGACCATACGCTTGTTGGCCACGAGCGTGATCCGGAGAATAAGCTTCTGGAGGAGAACGCGAGAGGAGCGATGGATCTTCTTCAGAATTTGTAAGTCGCGGAGGAGTTCAAGACTCTGTGGCTTGGCGAATATGCCTTGAACGGTTCAGCTCTGGCCTCGGTTTGCGTCGCAACAGGTAGACAAAGCACCCACAACACACACACACACACACACCACACACACACACACACACACACACACACACACACACACACACACACACACACACACACACACACACACACACACACCCACTACACACACACACACCCAAACACACACACCCAAACACACACACCCAAACACACACGCCCAAACACACACACACCACACACACACACACACCAC